CGACGTTTAGGCCGTTGTATGCTCTGGTCTTCTTCAGGCATTTTTTGAATTCAACCTTTTATTTCGTCCACCGGATTATATTGTTCTAATTTCACGTGCCATGACTTTTCCGGATGTCACAGTATCAGTTATCTCCCTTTAACTCAACTCTGCAAGTTTGCTTTTTTTTTTCTTTTTTTTTTTCACCTCTTCTATAGTCAGGTATTGAACTCACAACGCTTTTATCTACAAGGACATATATCTCAGTGAACTTTTGAACTGTAGTGTAGATTATAGCTGAAACAAAGCAAAAAACAAATATATAAAAAAGCAATTGTGTTTCGGGTGAAGCCTTAACCTAAAAATGATGAAAGTATTCAACTCTAGATCTCCACCTAAAATACCTAATGCCCAGTGGCCTTTTATATCAAATTCTTGCTATCGATTGACTCTATGTTACAATGCCATACAGCACGTTATCGTATTTTACTAGTTGATAAAATCGTTATACCAATTTATATGACTGTCAGAGACAAAGTGTAGAGCATCTCTTTAAATACATTTATGAGCGTATTTTTTTCTGATGGTCTTCTGCTAAACTGTTTCTCACGTATGATCCGTGGAGGGTACTCAACAATTCTGTACGACAAAAAATAAAACCGATCAAAGATCAAAAAAACTCTGGAAGCAAAAAGGTCACTTATACTTACAATCAGAAAGAAACGGTTTAAATTACTGTTCAATACATAATGATGAAAGCGGGTTTGGAGAATTTGATACTCACATGACATATTGAAGGCAAGAGAGACAGAGGGAAACAGCTAGTAACCTGCCTAATTAGCTTTTGTAAATTGATAGCAAAAACAGGGGCTGCCAGGAATAGTTAGTAGAGAAACAATGCTAAGAACTAGAAGGTTAGGAACTTGTGGTGATCCATAATAAACCACAACCCAAAGGGACACGGCATTTAAAAAGAGTTCAATTTACAAAATAAAAGTAATATTTCTGGGTAAAACAGCGTCTAATTCATCGGTAATCTACATTATAATGATCCGATTTTTGTTTGTGGGTGAAGTTGCTTGTTACAGTAAAAGCGGCATTAATCGTATTCATCTAGATTTATGCTAAGGTAATATTAATAAAACAAAATATTATTAATTTTACAAAAATATTAATAAAAATGTTATTATTAATTTATACAAAAATATTAATAAAACAAATATTCATCTATTTTGTAAAATATTATTATTAATTTATACAAAAAATATTAATAAAACAAATATTCATCTATTTTGTAAAATATTTTTATTAAATACAAAAATTAATAAAACAAATATTCATCTATTTTGTAAAAATATTATTATTAATTTATACAAAAAATATTAATAAAACAAATATTCATATTGTAAAACAAATATTCATCTAAATAAAGCTATTCATCTATTTCAATTTATTAATTTATACAAAAATATATTAATAAAACAACATTCATTAAAATAATATTTTTTCTGTGTTTGTTGCAAAAACCGAAAATCAGAAAATTTAAAGAGAAAAAGAAGTAAAAATATACTTAATACATAAATAATGATTTCCATAAAACAAATATTCATCTATTTTGTAAAATATTATTATTAATTTATACAAAAATATATTAATCTTTTATTTATTCGAATTCCAGTCGAATCCATTACATTCTCTTACATGGTAATACCCTTGGGAAAGGTATGAATCCTCTTCTTCTCCCACCCAAATATGGGTAAATAACAGGACAGTTTCTATAGCCCTGGATGGCAACTGGTCTACCGCAGAAAAAAATGGCAACCTACTGCGGTAAAAAATCTGCCTCGACAGTCATGTATCGAAAGATACATGATCGCCTAAACGTGTATTACTCACGGCACATAACTGACTGACTATGTAAAAAAAAAGTACTTTTCTAAACAAGTACGAAGTCTGATCAAAAAGTATCGGTACTATTGCTCTGGTAATGGACTATGGTACTATGCTATGGTACGCAGAATGAAGCTGCTTGACACAAATAGAGCTTGAACACTGTCGCACAAGAATACTAAGTTATAACGTTTTCGCTCGCTTCTGTTGTTTATAGCAGCGCCTGGAAGGTAAGTGTGTAGAGTATCGTCGTCTCACCACACCACAGAAGTTCCATCAGTGACCATGGCTTGAGCAGCAGTTTTTAGATAAACACAACATTACCCTGGCCCCAAAACTAACATATTCCCCAGGTCTCGTTACATTTCCTTTTTCCAAACATCAATTCAAGTGGGATATGATTTTGAAAGGAACAAAATTTCTAGACGTCGAGGAAGTCCAAAAGAATGCGACTGCTTGATATCCTAGAAACGGAATTCCAGGAATACTTCCATCACTGGAATCAACGCTGGATAAAGTGTGTCTTTAGAAGGGAACTACTTCGAAAGAGATTAGACGCCATATTAAAGCTTGTTGTAGTTTTCATTTCATAGCACCACTCTTGATACTTTCTGATTAGAACTCGTATATATTCAAATTTTATTTAACACAAGACTGCTGCTGATTAAGTTTTACAAAATACCGTTAATAACATAACTCTAATTGGTGTTAGGTTAATTACACATTCATTCTTATTTATATAAGTATTGCTTCCAAATAAATATGATCATTTCTTTACTGCCTGTCATCGGCATAGCTGATGCTAAACTGCAAGATAGCAACACTCTACGCCTCCTTCGGCTCACGTTTTCTACTGACATGAAGTGGAGTAATTATATTGAATCAACTGCTGCGTCTACTTCTAGGAAAGTTGGTTCTCTATGTCGTTCCAGACATTTTTTCTCGTCAGAACCCTTGATCCAAATTTATAATTCTACCATTCGTCCGTGCTTTGAATACTGCTGACATATCTGGTCTGATGCTTACGTCTCGAAATTCTTGACAAAATTCAAATAATGATCTGTGATGTAATCGATCCTGATATGGTATCTCATCTTCGTTCACTTTCTCAACGACGTGATTTGGTTTCCCTCTGTCTTTTCTAAACATATTTTCATTGCAACTCTTCTGGTGAGCTTTTTCCTTAGTGTCTAGACTACATGAATTTAAGTATACTACTAGATTGGCAACTATGTCTTACCGTTTTACTGCTGAACTAGCTAGATCCAACCGCCATTTCTATTCTAAAAGTTTCTCTTCGAATGGAACTCCCTTCAGATTTCTTGCTTCAGTACCACCAAGAATCTTCAAAAATTTAAATGCAATTTAAATCGCTATCTTCTGTCTTCCTGAACTCTGATTGGCCTTTCTTCACGTCTCCTCACCTTGCCTGGGGTGAAATGATGTTTTAAATATTGTTAGTCCTATAAATAAGACGTGAGTTAATACTGATCTTAAGTGCCGCCTTCGACGACCTTTAAAGTATTTTATTTGCTTTTAGTTAACATATTACAGTTATATGTTTGTATCAGTGTTGACATGAATGGCTACAATAAAGTGTATCTTTTTCAGATGTTGCAAGTTTTAATATAGATTTAAACTAGAAAACTAACTTTTTCCAGGCTATTTATCAATAACGATATTAGTTTCGCTTCTGAAACTAATATCATTGGCCGCTTTTATTGTTTGTCCAAAGACACTTTGATTGGAGACAATATTCAACACGAACTCAAGTCAACTGTAAGCCATCTTTATGACCTCATTCGTGGTGAGGCTTGTAAATGGCAGCAACATTGGTAACCGCAAGGGATTTAGCAAACCGGAAAATGGCAATCAATCGTCTCCTTTTCTGACAGTCAGAGAACATTCAGTTTAGAATCCGACCGTCAACACCGGTGTCGAGATTTCTAAAATGATGTGTCGCTAATGTTATTGATTTTTCACCACGGCTCATCAATCTTTGAGAGTTCATTATCTTTTAAATCTTTCTTTCTTTCTTTCTCTCTCTCTCTCTCTCTCTCGCTCTCTCTCTCTCTCTCCTTCTCCCTCTCATGAAGTAATGTTCATATCGTTTTACCAAAATACCAAGTGGATGAAAACAGAAATCACATGTGGACATGTAATTTAGACACAGATATTCACCGCTCAGCATGACAATTGTGTGCATTTAATTTCTTGACAACTACTAGTGTGCATAAAAATTGGCAAAGGATTTTTCTTTCATTAGCATCGTTGTCCTATTTGTTTTTATTTTAGTTCATCCAACACAAGGCCCAAGAGCCATTCAAGGTAGAGTGTTACTAAGTGAGATTGTTGTAAGGTAGAGAGAAGTAGGATGTAAGAAATATATATAATGAAGACATGTAGGATTGATATTGTTTGACTCTACTTGAAAAGCTGAAGATTACAGGGATCGGAAAAGATTTTCCCGGAAGCGTGTTCCACCAAGTTATTGTTCTGTAGAAGAAACTGAGCGGAACTTAATCTTTACTAAGGGAATACGATGTGAATGTCTGAGGTGGCGGAACTAAGGAATGTAACTCGTTAAAATATTTTCGGTAGTAACAGCGATAGTGTAGTTATAGCGATCAGAGGCTAGCAACGTTTCATCTGTGGTTACTGGATGGAAAAGAATTCATCACTAACAAGGCCATGTAATTACTTTTGAACTCTATCAAGGCTGGACAGTGAAGACTGTGCTGCAAAAAATATGGCAGCAAAACTCCATTTCTTGGTCTGATCTAACTCTTGTAAATTTAGAACATTGTAGCAGAAGTTAGTTATTTTTGGGAACGATACAAGGAACCGATCATTTTTCCAGCATCTTTAGCGATGACATGAATATATGAGTTTCATTTGAGGTCTGGGGTGAGCTCTAAAACTAATCGCCGCTCGAGGCTAGGAGCTTTATTTAGATTATGGCCGCTCATCAAGATTGGAGCAAATCATTTTAGCTAAAATAATTAAAAAGGCTAAGGATATAGAAAATAAATACACATATAAACCCTTTGATCTGAGCACCAATCGAAGTATTTAGTATCATTTAAAGAAGAAAACACGCTTGCCGCCTTTTCGAGTTAAAACATTTATTGTTATATTGTAAAAAAATTAGATAGATAGATAGATAGATAGATAGATAGATAGATAGATAGATAGATAGATTGTACTTCGCCAAAAACTGTTGACCAGGGTATATCTAGAAGCAGTCTTTGTAATTACTGTGCTCGATATTAAGAGATAGAAAATTAATAAATATGATTAAAATTAAATGTTGACTTAACTTGTCTCTAACTGAGTTTCGAGAAATTATATCCATTCTTCAGGAGACTTGATAGTAAAACTGGAATTGTTTTCAGAAATCACAAATCCCTTACATCTCCGAGTGTTGATCATCATTAAAAATCGCCCTCTCTCTTTCTCCTCTCTCTCTCTCTTTCTCTCTCTCTCTCTATTTCTCTTCATTTCTCTTTCTTTCTTTCTTTCTTTCTTTCTTTCTTTCTTTCTTTCTTTCTTTCTCCGTGCAGTGGTGTTCTGATCACTTTAGTAGCAATGTGCCAGTTGATAAAAAAGAAATCATAATAAGCACATATTTTTTAAAGAAAATGATTTTTGGAATGTTGCAATCACGTGTCTTGCAGAATGAATATGATTCCATGAAACTCAGAGTAGAGACAAAATAAGTGTGCATTTTGTTGTAATTATTATTATTATTATTATTATTATATACCGTATTTAACAGCATACAAGACGCACGAGTGTATAAGACACACCCAAATTTCAGCAGGGCAAATCAAGAAAAAAATTAGTAATTAGTAAAATTAGTAAAATTGTTAGTAAATGATGCAGTCTAGGCTATATCTATGATATATTATTTTAGTTAAACAAGACATGGTTTCAATTAAACAAAAAATAATGAAAAATAGAACATAAGCTTATAAAAAATAAAGGTAAGAAAACAAAATAAAAATCAAGTAATTATTACAACTGAGCAAAACAGTTACCATTAAAATTTTATTCAAATCCATAAAATTCGTCATCTTCGTAATCAAAACTCTGATACTCATTTTTAATACTACTATTGTAGCGATCATCATCGTCATCACACATACATACTTACAGATCATACGGTAAGCATTCATTGACTCTAGCTTGCTGATTGGTCGATTCAGACCAATCAAATCGCCGGCAAGCGAGGAATAATTTTCCCGCGCACAAGACACAAATAAGCCTCCCTCGTGTTTCTCTTCATTCATCTTTCTCCTTGCTGCCAAGATGTAATCTTCAAGAGCTCCCGTCTTAACCGAGCGGTCAGACGTTAAAGATCATTGCCAACAACTCTTACCGACTTTCTCGCAAGTCGTCAGTAGAGTCCAGCTATTACGCCTGTCTACACAAATCCACGACTTTACTCACAACGCACACACAGACAGATTTTTGTATTCCATTACACATTCTTCCTCTCTATGACTATGTCAAGTTCATGAACCAGAACTCTCTTACTTACTCAAAACAACAGACTTCTTTATTAACTGTGTTCTATTCTAACACCAGACTCTATTCAACATAGAATACTAAACATTCTTACTCAAGAGAAACTCTTTTTGACATTAAATCTTAATCGGAATACAGTGAAAAGGAAACAACTTTTTCTCCCTTAATTACGACACACCATTGCATGATTGTTTTATATGTTATTGTTTCTATATATATTTTATTTTTGATGCACAATTGGAGTTTCGTTGTTTTTTTGTTTGTTTTTTTTTTTGTTTTTTTTTAATCATTAAATGTATAATGGATAAATGCTCTTAGAACACACAATTACATTTGATAAGCTCAACGCATAAACCCAAGCAGCATTTACACTATCATCGTCGTTAAATAATGCGTCATCTTCCGTTCCATTGAGAGCATTGCTAATGCCACACTTTTTAAAAGATTTCACAATTTCTGGTCTAATATTATCCCAAGTTTCCTTCACCCATTCGCAGACTTATGCAATACTGAGTCTTTTTATTCTTCCTGTAAGTATAAAAGTCTGTGATCAGACATTACCATCCACGTGTTCCATTGTTCCTTCATGTTTTGCTTGAATGGTCTATTCAAAGACACATTCAGAGGTTGCAATTGACTCATTAACCCATCAGGAATAACTGCCATCTCTGTCTTCACTTTCTTTTTAATGGATTCAGTCCTATGCACTCGAAACTGATCCCAAACTAGAAGAGAGGGCTTTCTCATACAACTCGTAGCCATAAGTGTACACCAGCTTCATCGATTCAGCCATTTGATGAACATGAACATGCACACCTTTTAGTATTTTATCTTCCGGTGTAGTTTTTCTATTAAAAATCAGAAAAGGAGCCAGTTTTTTGCCATCAGCGCAACATGCAAGAATGGCCGTATAAAGGGTCTTCTCATGGTTTGTGGTTTTTATTTTTCCCTTAATAGTGACAGTTTTGTCTGATGGAACATCAAGCGTTAGTGGGATTTCATCCATATTTCCTACCTGGCCTAGTTCAAAAGGAGTTATTTTTTGAGCATGTATAACAAATTTATGAAACTTTACTATTTTGTCATCATAGTCAGCTGGCATCCTCTGCGCATTTGATGTTTTTGTATGCGTTGACAAACCTTCCCGTTTCATAAAACGATAACACCATCTTTCTGTTCCAATAAAGTTTTGAATTCTCTTTTCCTTCGCTAATCTTCTAGCCTCGTTCCTTATCATTTTCGTAGTAACGATTCTGTCTGTACTCCTCTCATATACAACCGACGTTTTAATTTCAGGCTAGTGTGGACCTGGGTGGGGGTGAAGGTTACAGTTTCCTTTCTTCGCTGCCCGTAGGTTATCTTCCTACAACCGCGTGTAACGTATCATTTTTTTTCTATAGGCGGAGGGCCAAAATATTTTGCAGCTTCTCTATTTCCATGCTCTTTAGCATAGTTTATTACATGAAGCTTGTACACAACAGTGTAGCTTAACGTCTTTCTTGCTGTTGTTATATCTGAAGGAGTGAAATTCAGTCAAAAATTTTCCTTTATATGATCTGTACGACCTGCGTCTTGTAGACATCTTAGTAGAATAATTAGGATATAAAAATTCTGATTGTATTTATACCAATGCAACCGGAAGTTATCGCAAGAAAAATATTAATGAAACAAATATATTTTGCAAATATAAAGTTTGAATTTATTGCATATAATTTTAGTGAAACAATGTACGAATATTAAACGTGATAAAATTAATATAATGAATATTATCAATGATAACACTTTTAATCTACATTATAGCCGTTTAAATAATGACAATAGGTATATGAAAGCTACTCTAAAGCTAATAGGAGTTGCCAGGTAACTAATTTCGGTCGACTATCGCGAATTTTGAACCTACATATGGCATATAAGACGCAGAGGAATTTTAAAAGATATCTTTAGTAAAAAATAGTGCGTCTTATATACCGTCATATACGGTAATAAAATTTCTAAATAAATTTCTTTTTCTTTGATGTGCTGCATACGTCCAGGACATAGGCGAGCATAGCTCTTCACATCTTCTTGTTCCTTGTAGCTCTTAATAAGTTTTATGTTTTTGCTATTTCTCCAAAACCCTGTTCTACCATCCATTTACTCAAGGCCATCAAATATGTTACACGCCGCTTTGCTCTGTCCCTATTTTCATTCAGTCTGTCCTGTGAGTATCAGATTTACCAAGCCCACCTTCTTCATTATGTGCCCCAGATATTTCAACTACCTCTTCGTAATGTTAAGTATAAGTGTCTTTTTTGTTTCCATTTTCTCTAAAACCTCATCGTTGCTCACATTTTCGGGCCATGGTATCCTCAGCATCATTCTGTAGAACCACATTTCTTTTGCTTCGTCTGTTCTTCATATCTGAGGAGATTGTCAAACATTCGCTGTCATACAGGAGGAGAGATATCACGTAACAATTCAGTACCCATTTCTTTGTTTCTAACGAAGTTTTTTTTTCTGTCTCTTAATACTCTGCTTAGCTTTTGGAATGCATCTTTGGCTATCCCATACGTCTTCGGATCTCAACGTCGCAATTTCCGTCGTCTGTTAGAACGCTTCCCAAATATTTTAATTTTTGTACTTGTTTGATTTTGGTATCTTCGATTTATAATTTGCATTTTGGGCTCATCTTTTTGCTGATAACCATGCATTCTGTCATCTTGTAGTTTATACTTGGTCCTTTCCTTTTCTCTTTCCTTCGCTACCTTCTGTAGGAGCTTTTGTAGTTTCCTTTCTGTTTCTGTTATCAACACTGTGTCATCTGCATATCTTATATTGCTAAGATTGTGGACGCTAATAATGAATCCTGGTAGGTTTTCTAAATCTATCAGAATTGCCTCGTTCTATAGGTTGAATAAACGCGGTGAGAAGACACATCTTTGTTGTTGAAGTTCTAAATTTAGAATTATTTTGGGTAAGAGTATTTACTTCAATTGTACATGCGTACAGTTTTTAAAAAGTTAAATTTAACTAATATCTTTATCACTTCTGATCCATTCGTTTTATTTCTAATTTCATCATTACAACCTTCATCGTTTTCAGATTTAGTACTCTGAATCTTTTCATCTCTACATTTTATCACAGATGCTTTTCAATTTAAGATCAGGAAAACAGCTGATATAGATGAAACGTTGGCTTGAACTGTGATGGAACGAAAGACTTCTAATGTTATCATAAACAAACAGCGGTTGTATAAGCAAACGTTTTTTTATAAAGTGTGTAAAAAAATTGCCAGTAATTTTTGCTTTTCTTTAAAGTTTAAAAAATAAACTCTTTCTACTTTGTATTCGGGTGTTGTTGTTTTTTTTTAAATTAGTGAGCCGGGAACTTTTGTACTCACGTAATACTTATAATATCATTGGATTCCTATAAAAACTGAACATTGAAGGAATTAATACGACAATTTTTTGTTCACTATTCAAACATTAATAAAAAGAACAAATCAATCTATTCAATGCAAGATAATCCATCAAGCAGTCGAACGCATTTTTTAAGCATTTCACCTCAAGCAAGACGGGAGCGGCACTAGCATGCAATGGGGTTACAGAGGCGTGATAGAGGAAGTGGTAAAGAGAATGACGGGGAATTAGATCAAGGCATCTGAAGATATCAATTGACATCAATTTGAATATTTGGAGACTGATTTTCTGTTAATTTGCGCATATACAAGCAAAGCAACGGTGACAAAGTAACATTAGGCATAAAAAACAAAATATCGTTTTTTCTAATAGCGGACGAAAGAATATGATTGCATAAAAGTATATCAAATGCTTACCTTACGTTTTAAAAAAAAATTAAGAGTTTTCAAGCTAAGTATGCATCATAAATTAAAGTTAATGCTTATGAGCATATATATATGGATATAATATGAATACATTTATATATAGGCGGACGTAGTTTACGCCAAGAGATAATGATGCGTTGTAATCATCGTCTCAAATATCGTATCTTTTTTAGAAGCGGTTCTAATGAAGTTGATTGTTGTTAGGTCAGTGAAATTTCTGTACCTACTTTTTTTTTAATCGAGTTCCCTCCAAGCAAGGCAGTAAAGCCACTGAGACGCAAGGGGTTACTAGATGTGGAAGAGTTAAAAACAGAAGCATTGCTAAGGAGCGAGAACAGGGGAAGATTAAACAAGAGGACAGAAGATAGCGATTGACATTGCATTTAAGATTTTTGGAGATTAAAGTTGACTGGAAAGCATGGAGCCGGAAGGGAGTTCCACACGCGAGAAGTGCGAGAAAAGAAACTGTTATTATAGAATTAACGATTACATCTAGCCAGCTCAATAGTAAATTGGTGAGACATTCGAAGAGTCTAAGTACCATAGCGAAGAAAAAGTAATATAAATATCAATTCAATAAGAATTGGACTATTCAGTTTGTTTGTTTTTCTTCTTCTTTTTATACAATCTTTGGAATATATACACGAAGCAAAATTAGTGAATTGCTTACGGATAACAGCAAGATAAAATTGATCTGTTTTTGAAATTGCCAAATAGATTCTAATCTTGTTGGTCGATTTTCAGCTGAGTAAGCAAACTAATTTTAATAGACGCGTGCATTTTCTTAGTTAATGTTTGTTGTGGTAGGATCCACCTAATTTGCATAGTGGAGTACCGACCATATAAATATGGTTGGTACCGGGAAGAGAAGGAGGGGAATCAAGAGATTCAATCCAGAGACTCTGCCCGACTGCGACTAAGTCAACACATTCTCCAGGAACGGTCTTCCCAGGAATATACAAAAGACTATATGTAAATATTGTGTACACTTTCTTGTTCAATACATTTTGTTCTAAGTACATTTTGTGTTGCATTATTATTCCATGCATTAGTCAAGTTTCAACAATGTTCTATTTGTGATGAAAACAAACGTTAGAAATAATTAATATAAAAATTACGAAAATTATCAGAACTGCTACACCTATTTAAAATCTTCTGATTGTAAAAAAAAAGCACAAAATATATTGAAAATCTGATTCCAACGATGCTTCGTTCTGGTAAATTATAAAAGTTAAAACTTGAAAGTCAATCGCGCTTTGTAGTAAAATATTCAGATAAATGAATCACAAGATGGAGTGTGTGAAATTCTCCAACGCCATTATTGATATCGTTTTATTCCTGTTGTTTTCACTTCTACGTCAACCAGGGGTAGTACTTATGCAGGGAGAACAAACATACAGTTCTACTGATAGGTTGATAAATACATTACCGATTTTATGCGATTATAATTAGATGGCATAATTGCAAATTTAGTAGATAAGAAATTTTGCGTATGTAGTATCTCATGAATGAATATATCCACAAAATAATTTATACCCACACAAATATATGTTATTACTATCTTGTGTTTACACGTATGTTTATGCGTAAACGTACTTACCTTCTCTCTATCTGGTCATTCATAGTTTGACAACAAACCACTGAAGAACATCTTCTGTTTCTAATGGTAATCTAAACTTTTCAAAAAGAGTGAACAGTTGCCACACGTTGAAAAATGTTTTATCTAAGGGAAGTAACTTGAGAAACGTATAAACAACCAAGGTAAGTAACTCCTTCTTTTCGTTTCCTTTTCTTTTTGGTTCTTTTTTATAGTTTAAGTATTTTTCAATTTTTTTCTTTTTTAGTTTCCAAAGCAATCATCGCGGTGCATAATTTTAATGTGTTTTTATACAATTTATAAATATACATTCTCACCAAGAAATGGTAATCTAAATAGAGTAAATATTCTTTTTTGTCTCTTCATCAATTATATTGTTTGTTATTGATATTCGTGTAATACAGTTGTGATCTAGATGATTTAAATATTTTTACAATTTGAAACAAATCATATTGATTTGAGGTTTGAAATTATAATCAATATCAGACATTAACATTATATTTATTTATGTGCATGTAAGACCGTAGATAACAGGGGTTAAATTGAAAATGTACATAACTAAATAGCGTAGATATCTTTAAAATCAATTTCAGTGAGTAGGCGTATTTCACAAACTTTATATATATGATGGGGTCTCCCATCGATTTCGATGTATGAGAATCCGACATTCATTCAGTTTGCATACAAGTCCATATATATATATATATGTGTGTGTGTGTGTGTGTGTGTGCGTGCATGTTTGTACATATATATATATATATATATATATATATATATATATGAACTTGTAAAAACATTTCATGTAATGCGTTTTGTCTTTTATAACTTCATTAGTCAAAAGTGATATTTACGTAGATATGACACTGAAATTTTAAACTTAATTTTTTTTTTATATATGTGTTGGTGTATATAATCTAGCCAATTTTATTTAGTTTACAGATAGATAGATAGATAGATAGATAGATAGATAGATAGATATAAGAATATAAAATAAGTGTTTGGTTCGATCGACTCAGTCCAATAGACGGTTATTTTAAGTGCTCAATACACAATTCATAAAATTGATCGTGCTGAGCAGATAATAATATAAAAGATTTGTAAAAATTCAAACATAACCCGGATTTCAATCTGTGTGTGTGTGTGTGTGTGTGTGTGTGTGTGTGTGTGTGTGTGTGTGTGTGTGTGTGAAAAGAGAGAGATAAAAACAGTGGTATGTAGATGTGCGCGTGTGCGTATCTGTGTTTGATTTACACACGCACATGCTCGCATACGTCCCCACACACAGGCACATATGCACCGCACAATTTTACGATTTTACGATTTTAATACGCTGGTCCAAACCATCAGAAGTGTGTACTGATGTTATGTCCATTCCGCAACAACCTTTAATACTTGCCTTATTGCTGACCGGCATTCTGACAAAATGGCGTCTGACATGAAAAGGCTTCATTAAATTCCTTCATGCGGAATAATAATATATATCGATAGACATCGACGATTGTCGAACATTTAAGAAGACTGTACGGTGGACGTGAGCTAAGTGGGGTAATGCGTTTCATTAAATTGGTTGACAGAAAGAGATTCTCCAGAATGAATGCCTCATAGTTCAACGGAATACTGCGATAGATACAGAAAGCACGCTAACACACTTGGATATAGTAAATCTTCATTCACAAAACACTACAGTCACGAACATTGCAAATGCATTTTCACCAGTGGTTAACAAGAGTCTGTATTTCTTGGACTGACTGAGGTAAAGGGCTGCCCAGAATGTAACACTGTCAACCCGATTACGGCTATCCACTAAAAAAAATAAAGGTTTTAAGTTATACAAATATGTTGGATTAAAAAATAAAATCCATTAATTATTTAGAAATTGCTTTGTTTACATTTTGGATGTGAAACTAAGCAGTTTCGAGAGAAAACATCTGAACGAGTGAGTGTGCTTTAAAGGCAAAATAGAACCTTTCTTTATTGTGAAGCCCTTCTTCCGGATCGGACAGTGATTCTTCCCGTAAAGAGGGATGCAGGTTCGAATCCTACCGGAAGGAACATTTTCTTTATTAAGTTTTCTCGAGGATGCAAGCAGGTATACGAAATAAATATTGTTTAAAATAAACAGTGTATATACTCAAATACGTGTATCCACTAAAAATAACGTTTGAAGTAATATGTTTATGTGTATGTGTCTGTGTGTGCATATATATATATATATATATATATATATATATATAGAGAGAGAGAGAGAGAGAGAGAGAGAGGAAGAGATACAGAGAGAGATTCAAGTGAATAGACTTATTAGGTTTGTATTCTGTTGTCACCTAACAATGGACAATTTTAATAGCATTTAGATTTTTATCAGGATGTGATCATACCGAAGAATTTATCACATTTAGAAGATTTGTTTATAAAGCACTCCGTAGCCGTGTGGTCGAATCCCGACGGTTCAAAAAGCGGTTTCTGCTGTAAAGTGGGAGGCAGGTTCGAATCATGCCTGTTGGTACATTTTTTTTTTTTTTTTTCTCGAATACGCAGGCCAGTATACGAAATAAATGATGTTTAAAATAAACGGAGTATCTACTTAAATACGTGTATACACTAAAAAAACGTTTGAAGTAATAAACACACACTAACACACACACACACACACATATATATATATATATAGAGAGAGAGAGAGACTATGTTAATAGACTTGGTCTGATGATCGCATTAAAGTGTATCATCACCCACAAAACAATTTAATCTAATTTGAACATTGCTAACCGGATGTATATTAATAGCTCTGTTATTTTGCATTGAGTACTGTTTTGTTTTACCCCAAAGGATATATATATATATTTGTATGTGAATACTTACACGTATATTTATTTATCTTTATTTATTTGATTATATATATATATATATTCATGAATTATTCACACAAAAAAAATGCAAAGGTTAATGATTTAATTGGCGAGATATCCATCGTCGCAAACAATTCAAATAATATACAAAAACCTCCGAACCTGTTATGAATGAAAAGATCCTTGTTTCTATAAATTTCTGCTGCATTAGTTCTTATTTTTACTAAAAGCGTTCGTCTGTTCCTACAGACATCTTCAGGTATGCAATAGATGCTGTTCTTGTTTTTTCTCTCAGTAATAAGAGGACAACGAAAATATATGTATTGTTGTATCCGAAAATGCTACTGGAAATGAGTTATTGTTTTTGGAGCGTGCAGTAGCAACGCTGAGTTTGATTTTAAATTTTTACAGTTGTGCGTTCTTGTACAAATATGGTGATAAGCGAATTTTTTATTGGTAAATTTTCTGTCAAAGTGGCATGAACTATATTGTTCAATAATTACAGTAATGTCGCACTTATTATCCAAAAGTCGCACTTGGATCAGTTATTTTAATTTCGATAAACGTGCAATCAATTTACAAATTCATGAATTATTCACACAAAAACAAATGCAAAGGTTAATGATTTAATTGGCGAGATATCCATCGTCGCAAACAATTCAAATAATATACAAAGACCTCCGAACCTGTTATGAATGAAAAGATTCTTGTTTCTATAAATTTCTGCTGCATTAGTTCTTATTTTTACTACAAGCTTTCGTCTGTTCCTACAGACATCTTCAGGTGTGGAATAGATGTTGTTCTTGTTTTTTCTCTCAGTAATATATATGTGTGTGTGTGTGTGTGTGTATTGTGCGTTATGTATATGGTTGAATGGTTAGAACATTCGTTTTACAACCATAGAACTCCCGTTCGAATCTCACCGTGGTCGATTTGTCGTAATTTCCCTACTTGTAATAATAATATTTTTTTAAACTTTTCATCCCAAGCAAGGCGGTAGTGCCACTAACACGGAAGGCGTTACAGAGAGTGGGAGTAAGAGTAAAGAGGGAGTGATAGAGGAAACTGTGAAGAGAAGGACGGGGAATAGATCAAGGCATCTGAAGATGTCGATTGACATTGCATTTGAATAGTTGGAGATTATAGCTATCAGGAATGCAAGTAAGTGGAAGGAATTTCCGCAGATTGGAAGTGCGAGACATGAAGCTATTGAAGTAGAAGCTACGGCTACATCTAACCGTTTCGACTATGAAACGGTGGGACTGTGATGCCGACCTAGTGGCACGTTTAAATTAATGCTGTTTGTAACTAGCGAAAATAGCTAGTCGGAGCAGTTACCGTGAAGGTATTTGTAGAAAAGACAGAGGGAGGTGACGGCACATCTGTGAGAGAGTAACTGTAAACGAGATGCCATATCAGGGCCAACCACATTGCATATCCGTCTCTAGATTTTGTCAAGGACCTTGAGACGAACGGGTGTCTCCAGACGATATATGACAGCAGTATTCCATGCAAGGGCAAATGGTTAATTTAATGATTGGAAGGATGGACTCGGACGAGAAAAACTTTGTGGCGTGACACAGGGAACCAGCTTTTCTTGCGGTAGATGAAGCAATTGATTCAATGTAATTGTTCCATCTCAGGTCATCGGACAGTGTGAGATCAAGCAGTCGCAAAGAGGTGCTCTCATGGAGTTGATCATCAGATATTTTAATGGGAGGCAGTGTGAGGGTTCTTTGTGGTGTGTAATAGAAAACAGTTTTGTCTACAAATAAATTCAGTTTTACTATCTAGCCAGCCCGCAGATGCACCATTACAGTTTCCATATGGTTTGGTATAAAATCAAGTGCAAATTCATATTCTGAGGTGAGTCGCATACTACATTTTTGATTACTGCTTGTATCGTTTTTTGTATTGCCAATTAGCGCTCTCAGGAAATACGTCTTGCAAATAATAGAAAAGAAATGAATTTACACTATCTTTGATTTTTGTATTTTTTATTTATTTATTAAAGCATCTTCATTTATATTGAAATGCTTTCTTTTATTTATAATATACTGGAGTTAAGGTGTATGTTTGTAATACCGGTAATTTAAAATACATCGTAATAATTTCTCATTAAGAAAAGAGATATTCATGTTTTCAGAGACTACTTGAATCGTAAAAAAAGGGAAGAATTTTGTTTTTAAGTTTTTGTGTTCATTAGATAAGTTACAGCATTTGCCAAAATCGCAAAATATTGAAGTGGTGTTGTGGGGGTTCTTTAGCATCATAGCAGCAGAAATTAGCTTCGTGTTCATGGAAATAAAAGTATACTTGACAGAAAATAAAACGTGCAGAAATAACAGGAAAGGCATGGTAAATTGTATGTTAATTTTAAACGAGTTATTTATATTTTGTGTGTATTGGTGGGTGTATTTTTTAGGTTAAAATTGTTTTATGGTACATGTGATAAAAGGGAGAATATACTCCGTACTCCAAGCCATATCACAGAGTGAAGTCGAACATGTGTTACCCGTACCAAGGTGAAGAGATTGAATTTATATCTTTTGGCGGGATGTCCGTATTCCCCGCAGGAACAGTTTTCGTTGAATGCTGGGAGTATTTTTATTATTTTTAATTTTTATTTATTTTATACAGCATTTTTATGCTATTGTTTTATTTTATTTCAAAATTGTCATTATTATTATTGTTTATATTTTTTTTTTTATTTATTAATAATAATAATAATAATAATATCCGTACAGTGTCCTTTTCATAATATAAATACAGTGTTGAATCGAGTCGAAACTTCATAAAATGTTATCCGTACTTTTTTTATTTACAAATGTCAAGTTAGAAAATGTGTTTACGTCATTAATAATTGCGTACGATTGCGAATTAGTAAAAAAGACAACATCATTTCCATGTTTTTATTTTTACTGGGATTTTTTTTCTACCAACAGACCTGTCAAGTAGTATATGCTTGTTATTTTTATTTTTTTTATTTAAGATAAAAGCAATTGCTAGTCAAAAGTTGAGAATACATTTTTAATGATTACATTTTCGCGAACAGCTTTGTAATTTAAAAATGTATAATTCTTTGGATTTTTTAAGTACTTCCTAATTTTAATGATTTTATTTTTCTATAAATCTTGTAATACTTTTGGCGAGACTTCAAAATATTAATTACTTTCATATGTTCAAAAATTTCTTAATAAAAACGTATTTCATTCATCGTTAAATCGATAATACCAAAATTTCCCTTTCTAATTAAACAAAAATATTGATTTAAATCAAGAGTTTCACCTTATAGAAGTTGGTTTTCATAGTTTTTATATTTTAATTTGTATACAGTTTTAGTAGGTCAACATTTGCAATTATTTGAACAGATTATTCACTTATTTGAATTGAAAGATCAAAAACATTTGCATATTTAGTAAAAGAGTGGCGTAATTTCCTCAGTGTTATTTAATGTTTCCATATGAAAAAAAAAACTATGTGGTAGAATTCATTACTTACAGATTAAAACATCAACAAAATAATGATTTCTATTTCTCAGATCAATGTTAGATAATTGAATGACAAAGTTGAAAAGTTCTATGTACCAAATTTCTATTTACGCTACTTACATTGTTCAGACTATTGTCCTCGTCGTTATTGTCACATTAACGACGTTTCGGTTGTTATACGCTCCGGCTTTCTTCAGTTGATATACGTTGGAATTTCGAACTGAACCTTTTATCTAATTCCATGTACCATGCCTTTTTGGGTTATCTCAGTTTCAGTTAATTACCTTTTTATTAACTCGTCTCTCCAAGTTTTTGTTCACCTCTGCTGTGACCAGGTATTGAACTCAGAACTCTTTGGCTCAACTCACTGGATTGCTTCAACCAACACTTTTATCCACTGCGATCAAAACTGAAACGTCGGGAATCTATATAATATTAAAAGTCTGTGATTGCGTGTGTGCATGTATGGTGCGTCCGTCCGGCGTATAATGATTTACAAGTTGTTTATACAGTAAGTATTTTTAGTTTAACTTTCTTCAAACACACAATTTTTTTTAATTAAAATGTCTTTAAGTTAAAGACAGACACAAAGAGATCCCGCTTTGCTGCTTCTTCCAGTTGTTTGTAGAGTACATATTTATATTTCAGCTTTCTTTAAACAAACAATACTATAAATATGTAAAAAATATTTTAATTTAATCTGATTTTAAAATATTTTTTAAATGAATAAGATTTTAAAATAGCAGCAGTTTATACAGTATTATTTTAACTTTCCTCAAACTGAGAATTTTTTTAATTAAAATATTTTTAACTAAAGACAGACACAAAGAGATCCCGCTTTGCTGTTTCGTCCAGTTGTTTGTAGAGTAATTATTTATATTTCAGCTTTCATTAAAGAAACAATATTTTAAATATTTAAAAAGTACTTTTGGCATATTTAAAAAATATTTTCAAATGAATATTATTTTAAAATATTTCTTGGCATATTAAAAATATTTTTAAGTTAATCTGATTTAAAGTTCAAGTTTATCCCGGAAGTTCTTTTACTATTAAATGCTGTAAACAATCAATAAAACGTTAAACATGAAATTGTAAACCAGACCAATGATGATACGAACGAATTGAAATATTTAACTGAATTATAACAAAATTAACTTTCATTTCAATGAAATGTTGAAATTAACTTCAATGATTTACAACCTGAACCGTAAGTGACCCAACGGGTCACGGGTAATCTAGTATGACAATAAAGATGAGGATAACAGTCCGAACAATGTAAATAGTGAAAATAGTTACAATAGTAAGTAGTTAACTCATCACAGAAATATAGAGAGATATAACAAATTCCGTTGTATATTTAAAAAACAGTAGGCATCCGTTTACCTCAACTATTCAAATGAGTTTGATGAAATCCCCACCTCTCTTTCATTCCTAGGTGCAGGACTGGGAGATAATATATGGTGCCTGTGCACTGCCCAGACGCCTTGGGCCAATTCTCGGGTGTAGTGACAAGGTCGAAAGGAATACAGGGCATTAGATTTAGGGGCGTCCATCAATTTTAAACTATAAATAACACCCTTTTCAACTAATATTATTTCAATCGCTGAGATGTTTCATATCTCTTAAGTTTCCTTTTTTTTTATCTTGTCAGGGTTCATTTCAGCGTTCCGTGGATGAAATAAAACGAATGTAATACAATCAGAAGAATACAAAAGCATTTATTCAGTACCAGTGGGCGGCGCACATCCAGTTAGAAAAGACCAGTTTTTTTTTCTGTTTCCCTGATAGCTATAATCTCCAACTATTCAAATGTAATGTCAATCGACATCTCCAGTTGCCTCGATCTATCCACTATCCTTCTCCCCATCCTTTCCTCTTTCATTCCTAGCCCCTGCTTTTTCCTCCGCTCCAAATCCTCTATAACCTCTTACGTGCTAGTGGCTTCCCGCCTTGTTAAGGGGGAAATGCTTTAAAAAAAAAATTCTAGATCATTCTGTGTACGTCTTTGCATACGTGGATGTAATATATCCCCACCTCAATTGGGTCATGCGTCGTATTTTTAAGCTTAATCCACCCCAAGAAAAAAATTAAATCATAAGGTGGTAGTGCCACTAGCACGCTTGTTAAGGGGGGAAATGCTTTAAAAAAAAATTTAGATCATTCTGGGTTACGTGGATGTAATAAGGTATTTTTGACAACAAGAGTAAAGAGGCGTGTTTGAGAAAAGGATACAAAGAAGAACGGGGAACAAGATCAAGGTATCAGAAGATGTCGATTGACATTACATTTTAATATTTGAAGATTATAGTTATCAGGGAAGCAAGTGATTGGAAGGGAGTTCCACAGACGGGAAGTGCGAGAGAAGAAGCTGTTCGAGTAGAGACGGTTACATTTATCCGATTCGACAGTGAATGGTTCGGACCGAGAAGCCAGCCTAGTAGCTCGCTTAAATTCATGAAGTCTGGGAACCAGCGAAAGTAGCTCGTCGGAAGAGTTGCCGTGAAAATACTTGTAGAATAGGTAGAGGGAAGCCACGGCACGTCTCTGAGAAAGCGAATGTAGACATTTTGTGTGTGAGTAACTTACATTGTGACATTTAATGGCTACACAAGCACATACACACCTTTTGACTAAGTTTTAAATTACATTAGAACAATACATTTCTATCCCAATAGGTTTTGTATGCACACACACAAATGTACATACAAATTGTATGAAATTAAAATGAGTATCTGTATCGCGAGAATTACTTCCCTTTTCTGTCCGGCAACAACCACTGGATAACAGGAAAATAGTATAAATCGAAATGTGTGATCCTTTGAAGTCCTATTTGAAATCGTTCATAACGATAGCCAGAAATTCAAGATCTGCTCGGTAATGATGGAAAGTTACTAGTTTGATTTTTGAGGTATTTAGAAGAGCCTGTTTTTTTTCCCATTGATCTGTTAGAGCTAGATGAAAGAAAAGATCAGCTGTCAGACTATGGTCCTCTAGATTTTTTTTGGGGGGGTGCACTCATATACCGTTATATCTTCGGCATAGATATTCGCTAAAGATCAGAGTATACTCTTAGGCAGCTCTTAATATAAAGAAGAAAGGGGGGTAGGAACGAGATGCGAACCTTGGGGTATGCCTACATTGATATTATGGGATCGGAGAACTTGGTTGTATTTAGTGGCTATTTTGCAATTATTGCGTACGCACAGAGAAATAGATTTTAGTATTGAATATATTATACTCATTAGACTTTAATTTAATGAATAATTTAAATTTTTAAATTACGTCAGCAACTTTAAAATTTAAAATAGTTTCTTTCAACTTAGTGATCGGCTTTCTGTTTAGGTATTGATCATAAACAGTAGATTGAAGCATTTTGGTAAAATAATTTTGATGTCAATATAAAAAATCATGTCGGGGAAGTCAATATATTTGGAGAACCATTTACTTAATAGTTGATGCTCTAACAAATTTAAAAATAAAAATCGGTAAATGCGGTAATCGGTAAATGCGGGAAAAGACAGATTATTTTCATACTCAAAGATGGGAGAGAGAGAGAGAGAGAGAGAGAGAGAGAGAGAGAGAGAGAAATTCACATACCCATTCTGGGAAAGAGCTTCACTGAAACATGCTGTGGCTTTGTTCGTTGTAAATGGGATAGACGATTGAAGTTGCCGGTAGCTGAAAACAAAATACTGGTGAAAGCTCACGCGCCAATCGATTGTTTTTTCTTGTTGGCATGTATTTATATGGCTTTCTTGTTGGCATGTATTTATATGGCTTATTTATATGGCATGTATTTATATGGCTTTCTTGTTGGCATGTATTTATATGGCTTTCTTGTTGACATGTATTTATATGGTTTATTTATATGGCATGTTTTTATATGGCTTTCTTGTTGACATGTATTTTCTTGTTAGCATGTATTTATATGGCTTATTTATATGGCATGTATTTATATGGCTTTCTTGTTGGCATGTATTTTCTTGTTGCCATGTATTTATATGGTTTATTTATATGGCATGTATTTATATGGCTTTCTTGTTGGCATGTATTTTCTTGTTGCCATGTATTTATATGGTTTATTTATATGGCATGTATTTATATGGCTTTCTTGTTGGCATGTATTTTCTTGTTGCCATGTATTTATATGGCTTATTTATATGACATGTATTTATATGGCTTTCTTGTTGGCATGTATTTTCTTGTTGGCATGTATTTATATGGCTTATTATATGATTTATATGGCTCAAGGGTCAGGACATTTTTAAAACTGCATTTGATTGTTCTGTTATTTTTACTCATGTGGTATTTTCTACACTATATTCTAAAAAAAAGATATTCGATGAAACTGATTTTGTAATTACCAAAATCGAAGATGCGAATGTTTTTTTTTCTTGTGTGTGTGTGTGTGTGTGTGTGTGTGTGTGTGTGTGTGTGTGTGTGTAGCCCAAAGTCCACTAAAAGCACGTCCATTACAAACTTTAAAACCAATCTGATACATAATTGAAGGAAAATACCACAATGACGACGTCATATGACTTGACGTTTCTACGAATTAAAATATAAAATTACATTTTTAAAAAAGAGATAGTAAATAAGTAAACTATTATAAACTTGCTCTTCAATTACGAGGGTAGATAATTCCTCTTAAAAAATGTGGACGGATCTCACCAGAAAAAGTACAACTTTTAAGAGGGAACACATCACGGAAGGATTTTTAAAAGGGTGAAGCCTTTTTTTTTCTTTATGATACACATAAGCATATAAAACGGTTTGTTAATTCATATAGATTGTATGGAGATGCATTTCGTTGAATTTCAATGGTCTGGTGCCCCCTCTGTACGTCTCGAGGTCCTCGACAAAATGTAGAGACGAATATGCAATGTGATAGGTCCTGATCTGGCATCTAGTCTACAGTTGCTTTCTCACAGACGTGCCGTGGATTCCCTCTATCTCTTCTCCAAGTATTTTCACGGCAACTCTTCCGACGAGCTACTTTCGCTGGTTCCCAGACTTCATGAATTTAAGCGAGCTACTAGGCTCCCATCTCGATCCCACACTTTCACTGTCAAACGGTTAAATATCTTTTGTACTCAAACAGCGTCTTATCTCGAACTTTTCGTCTGTGGAACTCCCTTCCTCTTGCTTGCTTCCCCGATAACTAAAATCTTCAGGTATTCAAGTATATTGTCAATCGACATCTGACACCCTGAGCTTGTTCCCCGTCCTTCTCTGTATCCTTTACTCAAACACGCCTCTTTACTCTTGTTCTCAATCCTCTGTAACCCCTTGCGTGCTAGTGGCTTTCTCGCCTTGCTTGGAGTGAATTGCTTTAAAAAAAAGTAATTATGTCAGAATTTTTTTGTCTATCTATCTATCTACTTTCAGATACCAAATAAATAACCGCTATCATTTTTTTTTCAATTTTTGGGATTTTTTCCCACCCTACTAGCTATTATTTAGATAACATAAGCTTATTATTCATTTTTTACAATTCACAGTCAACCAATTCAGTAGATTGATGCAAAATGGAAATGAATTCGATCATGTTGAAGTGTTTCACTAAAACACATTTATGGATATTTATTTTTAGTTTGAAAGATTTGTTATAAATCATTTCCCCAATCATTCCATTTTTGGAACTCCACCCCGTTTATTAGATTTTATATTTTTTCAACCCCCATGTTTATTGCATTTTCTGTCCATGCCCTACATTAATTACGACATTCCTGCTTTTATTTGGTACTTGAGTGTATCTATTCACAAAAGAAGCAGCAAGTCTTTAATTATACAAGGGAGGCAACTCTTACTGTACTTGGATATGTTTTGTTAGAAATAATATTGCACAATAAGTGAATTTAAATTCTATTTTAAAAGAATTAATTTCTTGGCAAATATAATTAAAATTTAATTTAAAAAATAACTATTTTCGTATTAGGTAAAAAAAAGATAATTATTGAGGATAGATGATAATTGATAATTAAAATTAGATCTCATAATTTATGTTTGAAACTGTTTATTTTAGTGATGAAAATTTCACGGACTTTTCTCACTTGCCAATAAGAAATTTGCGTACTTGGCATTTTTGCAGCATTTTTATTTTTTATTTTTTATTTTTTTTTTGTTTGTTTGTATCGTCGGCTGGTTCATGCGAAGTAGCGACTGTTTTATGTCCGAACAGTTATCTTAAAATATTTGAAGTCTATCTAACTTTACATGTGCATTTTTATTACATCACTTAAAGTAGAATAATCAACGCCAAAAATAAACTTTTAGAACTGATATATATATATATATATATATATATATATATATATATATATATATATAGGCTTAGGTAAATGAGATAACTTGATATTAGAGACCGTATACGCGTGTGCTAGCGTGCATACGCTGGTAAGCAAATAAATAATTACCAAATTTAGCCAAGAGGTGTAGACATAATATTGGTGAATGTGATTAGACAGAGCTATGAAATATATGTTAATAAATACACATATATCTACGTTTCATGTGCGACTCGAGTTCGCTGCGATACTTCATGCCCGATCAATAATTAAATAACCAACGAAATTCGATTCGCACTTCAAACGTAAGTATATGTGTATTTATTAAGTGTGTGTTGTGTGTGTGCTTGCGTGTGTGCGTATATGTGTGTGTGTCTGTGTGCGTGTGTAAAAAAGAAAATATCGAAAAAATATGTAAGCAGTAAATTTCAGATATTTGCCACCTTTATACAATTTCATCTTCACAATTGAACATAGATCGGATTCAGATCAGAACTTGATGGTGGCCGTTTCATTATCTTCTCTCCTATAAATCTCTTTTGCTCAAATAATTTATGGGTAAGCTTAGATATATGAGAAGAAGCATTGTCGTGCATAAATACACACTTCACTTTGAAACTACGAGACTGTGACTTGTACCATGCAAAGAATATCTTGTTCGTAAAATAGTACTATTCAGTTTACCTCCTTCATCGACTTTGAATGGTCCCATAATAGTTTGGGTTTGGTCTTGGCATAGTACCAAAAAGAAAAAGAAAAAAAAATAGTACCATCTCATTGTTGCCTTCATTTAACCACAGGCGCGTCTGAATTAGATAAAATCCATTCTTTGGCCCATTCATCAGGTCTATCAAATATCACTCGAGATTCGTCCGTGAAAATTACTTTAGAAAAGTCAATTTTCATATATTTCTTGGCCTAATTTTGACGCTTTAAAATATTTGCTTTTGGTGAGACGAGTTTGCATAGGAGATTATTTTACAGATTCTTATTCGCAAAGTATTCTACATCTTTTGTCCTTATTGACTCCCTCAATTCCAGCCTTTTCAAAAACCTGAACACTGATCAAAAGTGCTTGTTTCTCTATAACTCACTTTAGTTTATGTTCATCTCAAGGAAGCAAGTTCTTAAAGTCTTTTCTTCTGCTTCGAAAACTCAACTTACTTATATTTTCAACAGCCTTTTTATCGTTCGACGATCTCTGAAAAGCGCCATTAATATCTCCAATGGGGACATTCTGTCTTACTCAATAATTTTCTTATTTTTTGTTTTTCAACAGTTCTTAGATCCTTCCCATTACACATGTTTCATAATTTATCTTATGGACAAAAAGAAAAAAATAGTTTTTATGAGATTTCAGTTATTACTAGTTTAATCTGAAAATTAACTTCAGTCAGTCTATTTTCGTAAATTCAAAATATCTCAAAAACTAAGCATCAAAAATGGCAAAAAATTAATTTTGCGAAGGGTGGAAAAGAACGAGTTTAAATTTGACAAACATTGGTTGAGAGCTTTTTTCAGTTATTAAGGTTTATTTGATTTGTATAATTCCAGACAGTCTATATATTGAATACCGTATTCGCTCGTTCACTGTGTCGTGCCAGAAAATTTGGTCTCGTAAGAATCCATCTTATATATTCATAAATCTTTCATTCGTCCGTGCATTGAATACTGCTGCCATATGTGGTCTGTTGCTTCTTGTCTCGAAAAAGGTTTTGTATTGTGGAAAATATTTCATCGCCGTTTTATATCTATAAATGTGTCTGTCTGTTCAACCATTTTAATCTGTTCACATCTTTCTATCTATGAGTGTTAATAGGATATAAAGTTGCGAAATCAAAGTAGAAAACGTTTTTTATTGACAACAGGTTTCACCTTCGCTAGGTAGTTGGGTAGACGTCTTCGACCTAATGTCGTGTTTAGCTGTAAAGGCCTGAACTGGTGGAACAAAAGGGTGAACCTCATCAGAAGATTTTTTTAACATGGAAATAACGGTAGAGTAGCCATAAGCTTATAAAGTTGCGTTTGTTAATATAATGCTGTAGAGTGGCGATAATTCCCCACTCTTAAGACTTCGTAAACGCTTCTGAAATCTGTCAAGGCAAGACTGATAAGTAAGGTTTGATCAACGCTAGCCCTTAAAATTACAATAAAAAATGGTATCAAAAAGTATTGTTAATAATCGTATAATAATTATTATCAATTTTATTGATAACAGAGTTATTGTTTTCTTTTTAATAATGGTTTTGTTGTTTCAAAGCCAAGACGCGAAAATGTCAGATAGTCAAATACAAAACAAAAATTGCGTAACAATTCAAATTGAATGTAATCGATGAAGACAACACAATAAGATATTTCTTTATTGAATCCTTTATTTATTCATCAGAATACAAGAGCTGTAAAAGTGAAAGATGACCCTGCAACACAGAATTATGTCATCTGATTGGCGGGCATCCGAAAATTAAAGAAGAAGCGAAAGAAGGGAGAGGAAGTGGAGAAGAGGAATGATAGAGAATATCGAGTAAGGAAGGGAAAAGTGCGAAAATATTGGTCAAAGTAACAATTAAAGAAAAATGCAAGCTACCGTTTATATAGCTTGATCTAAGACTCATTCACATCTAACAGTAAATAATATCTCTCTGTTGATTCATCAATTGCCAATCAAAAAATATCAACTACACTTAAGATAATTCTTGCTTTTAATGTTTCTGCTATGAATATTCGGATGTACACACACACACACACACACACACACACACATATATATATATATATATATATATATATATATATATATATATAATAGCAAAAAATAAAATTAAATCCTACTCTGAGTTCCGTGGATACGGTGTCCGCTCATCAGGGAACTGGAGAGTGAACTTGAATTTATTTACAGAAGTTAAATTTAGTTTACAGAAATCCCTGCAATTCTGTAAATAAATTCAACTTTGCTATGGACCCATCAGACAAATCGATAGTATATCCACGAAACTCCAAGTAAGACAGATAAGTTGGACATTTAACTTTATTTGGTGTTATTAATTCTCAATATCTTGATATTGAGAGTTTTAAATTCAAAGTCATGTAATTATTTAAAAGCATTAACTTCCAGAGATACACTTGTCAATTCTTTGGAGGTGGGAACGCAACACAATTTTTCTGATTGTTTATGTATATATATATATATATATATATATATATATATATATATATATATATATATATATACACATATATATATATATATATATATATATATATATATATATATATATATATATAGTTGTGTGTTTGTGCAGCAATTCCTGCTCTTATTCATTTTTCATTAAAATTACTGACAAGGTACATCGGTTGTATCTTAATTTTTTTTATTGTGTGCGAACAAGAGATTTCTTGTTTGGACTCCTCTTTGTAGACTTGGTCCAAATGATAAGCCAAAAGCGGTCAGACTAAAGAATCATCTAGATAGTTGCTACATACAGTAAGACCCCAAAAGAAATCTCTTGTTCACATTCATAAAAAGAGACTAGAAATAACTGAAGTCCATTGTCAGTCATTTTTAATCTCTCTCTCACACACACAGAAACACACATACATATATATGAATAAATACAAAAGGAACAATTATCTTAGCCGGCGCATTTCGACCTATGATGGACTTTATCATCTGCCTTGATAAAATCCATCAGAGGACGAAACGCGTCGGCTAAGATAAGTTTTCCTTTTTGTCTTTATTCACATTGTACTTTTACATATATATTTTAGTTATATCTGACATTTTACACACACACACACACGTGAACAAACACACACGTGAACAAACACACACGTGAACAAACACACACGTACACACACACACACACACACACACATACACATATACACGCATATATATATATATATATATATATATATTACAAGTGAGTGTTACATCCGAATTTCTACTTGAGCTATATATATATATATATATATATATATATATATAAACATAGACACACACACACATATATATATGTGTGTGGGTGTGTGTGTCTGTCTGTATATATATATATATATATATATATATATAAACATAGACACACACACACACACATATATATATATATAACCTATAACTGACTTCATTATTTTTGTTTCTATGACAATATATATCCATTAGTTTTTAATATATTCCTATAATGTCTAGCATATGTATTAACTACAACTGATTTTAGCAAGGCGATGTCTTAATACATTCCTTATAAGCTAGAATTCTATATGAATTCCTAATATGGATAAATGCTCAGTATATGCGCATGTATAATACATTTTATATATATATATATATATATATATATATATATATAATGTGTGTGTCTTTGTGCGTGTGTGTGTGCACTTTGTGTAAGCATAAACGTATGTGTATGCAGAAATTATATAAATAATATATGAATATCTACTACTTTTTGTGTCACATATTATATGTGGATAAAATTGATGAATATTTCTATGCATTAGTCTAAAAAAGCACTCGAATATGTATGCATGTATATACGATGCAGAAGAACATTCGTCTGCATGCGCCAAATAGAATGATCTCAATATAACCAGAAAGGAATGAACTGTAATAATCTTAACTTGACATTTCTATTAATGAAATAATTTGAATGATGCATCAAGATATAAAAAGATAGGAAAATAATTCTGGTTACTTAATGAGGAAAATCTGGCGAAGAAATAACCAACAAGTGTGGAAAGAAGTCGAAGTTGCATTTAGATAGAATGGACACTAAAAAGAATTGTACTCCAATCTATTATAATTATTTTGCTTTGATTTCTGTTGTAAACTCGTTTCTTCCCAGGTCCCAACCATAGACCTAAAGTAAGAAATGGTTTCATGTCATGTTCCACTGATCATCTATTGAGAGAAAAAAAACATCCTAAGATCACATACATTTTACAGAGACAAAGCCCTTTGTAAGGTGTGAACTGTACTTGTGATTATTATTATTATTATTATTATTATTATTATTATTATTATTATTATTATTATTTTTTGATTTATGGTGTATACTTTTTTCTTCCCAGGTCCGGACCAGAGACCAAAGGAGAGATGGCATCATGACATTTCCACTGAGTATTTTAGAGGAAAAAAAATCTATTATCACACATATTTTAGATAGATAAAGCTCTTCCTAAGGTGTGGGCTGTACTTGTGAGTACATTATTATTATTATTATTATTATTATTATTATTATTATTATTATTATTTTAACACCACGGAGTCAAAAACTACGACCTGGTTTTACAAATTCTATAGAAATGTTTGTCATCGGATAAAATATCCGATAAAAAAACCAAAAGCAAAATAAGCATTAATAGCCAGGGAAAGAATTGCGTTAAATAAGAATAAAAGATAAACCAAAGTATAATTGTTCAATTTATTTTTTATACGACATTGCAGTATCTTTCACATTCAACTGCTTAGAACAAGTGAATTCCGTTATAAAATTGAAAATATATAATTTGAAAATGGTGCATCATAATAATAATGTAATGTGTTGTTTTTTTATACGTTTGTATTTTGTTTGAATGATTTCTGTGTCGAAACTAGAAATGGAATCTTTAAAGCAAAATGACTATACAAATCTCAGAAAGGAGAGGTAAGCGCAGACCAATGTGGCTAAAAATGAATATGATTCAATTTCAAATAAAAGTATCCATTTTAATTTTTCACACTTTAATTTATTTAAATCATTCGGTTTCTTAAATCTATTTGTTCTTTATCTAATTAAAACTAAAAACAAATCCAAAACAAAATGCTCCGAGTTTAAAGAAAATAATACACTTATTTGGCAATCATTAAACTGGCTACAACCACTCAACGTAATCTATTTAGAACTATTGTAATTCTCAGAGCTTAAAAAATATTTCCGAAGAAATTTAGATAGGATTCCGTCGGTAAAATTCTGGGAAGTATTTGTTTCTATATAGTTTCATTTTTACTGAAGCATGTATGATTTTTATGGCCATGAATAAATACACTAAACGCCATGACTTTCTTTATATCCAACTATTAATCGCATTGCCTTTAAAAATTCTAATTACTTTTATGCTGTTAAGGTATTCAGTTTATTTATTAACGTCTGTTTGTACCTACTCGTTGGTCTAGATGGTATTGCCAGTTGAAATATTTGTTACGCTCAATATATTTAAATGGAGGCAAATGAAATAATTACCTATCAGGAAATAAGTAAATTCATTTACAGTTCTCATTTTAACTTCTTTTTTTTTTTTTTTGTGAGAGTAACTATTTTACTTGAGGTTAATTATTTTAAATCTCTATTTAATATAAAACAGCCCAAAACCATTTATAATTAGATCAGACTCTCATTTGCCAAGGGAAGATGAGTAGCGATGTTTAATCAACTTATATGGCTCATATTTTTATAAATGCTGAAGTATAATAATTACACATATATTAATTACTATTCATCCATATAAAAATATGAACGTACAGAGAGCAAATATATTCAACACTTTCTCCGTTAGATAATACTCAAATAATCAGTTTTCTGAACAAGCAACATTAAGGATTAAATAAAATTATGTATTCATGCAAAATTGCAAAATATTAAAACTAATCAGAAGTTTTACGTAGAAGATACTTCAAATAGTCAATAATAAAAAAAATCTTTGAATTCGTGTGACGAATTTTAGTTCTAACATCTTTTACTCTTAACGTCTGTTATAAAACTCCAATTTGTTGCTGTTTAAAAAGCCATCCTATTAACACTGTCTTTCCTGCGACTTTGTTCCTCTCATCTATTACCGAGAACTTTTCAACTACAGACTGAAAGAAATTTTAATATTTACAACTTATGTACCCTGGTAACATATCCAATGAGACACGAAGTTTAACATAAAACATTACAATCAGATTTACGAACATTATATTTTTGGAGAGAATAGTAGGTGAAATAGACAAATGAATGCAAACATATTTAATCAAATTATTAACAAGAAATGTTTTGATACACTGATGTTGTTTTGTTGCTGTTGTTGCTGTTGTTGTTGTAGTTTCTGATGTTATTCCAGTTGGTTTGGGTGGGTAATATGATAGAAAGAAAGGAATTCTTCCAAAAATTAATATGAACGCCACCAAGCATTTTCGGCCATAGACATTTCTAGTCTTGTTCAGAAGTGGGACTCACCAAACTGCACATTTCTTTTGGGGGTTCATGTAACTTCCGAGGGGGCAGTTGAAAGCTTTGGAAAACTCTTCTGAATTATGAAGAGTACCGATTACCCTGTAAAACAATATAGATAATAATCATTATTACATACAACATGACGATTTATTTAGTTATTTCTTTCGTACAACATATTGTCATTCTGCAATTACTTTTCATTGATATTGTCATGTAATTTTACATATTTCTGGAGAGTAATTGATCGTCATTTCTGCTACTTAGTTATTCATTTGAGTAGCATTGTCAATTAAAGTAAAAGATAATAAAATAATTATCCATAAGGAAATAAATTAATTGCTGGCCTCTTGTAGACAAGAGATAAGTTATATCCCGGAAACAACATGCCGAACTGATCCAATCTTTTCATATTTTTTTAAATTTTGAATATCTATCTATCGATCTATCTATGCTTCATAGTATTAAACCTCGATAAAATCGAGATTTGTACTAATAGTTTTAATACTTGTTTTAATTCTCAACAACACCATAACTTAGTTACCTCCCATGAAGCGTTACTCAAGCCAATCATACGTTTTCAACTCAGCGTTCTTCACTTCACAAGTAAAAATAAATTTAGCTTTCCGATGAATACAGCAATTTTGTGTTTGAAAAGGATGAACACTACAATATTTGTCTTGAAATAAACAACACTGATGATGATAGTGTGCAATGTCGAAAGTACTCGGAATAAAAGAATATGTATCAACACGGTAATTTTCTCTCTTCCTTTTAATAATGACATCAAAAAGCTTGTCTGTGAATATGAAAGGATCCAATTGTAAATAAGTAGACAAAACTCGTCTAATTTATTCAATGAAACATGTCTCAATGAAAACATGCTGCCAAAATATATGCACACACACACACTCACAGACACACACACACTCATATATATATATATATATATATATATATATATATATATATATATATATATTTAAATCCTGATGTGAAGCCAACCGAATGGTCAGCCAAACGTTGGAAGACCATGGTTAAGGTCCAAGGGCAAACTGAAAAACAACCTTACGGCCGTCAACATTCCAAATAGTTCGTTTTTGAGGTGATATCCAATGTGAGAGCTGAATATGATGTTCCACTGGAATCGAATAGCACAGAGCTACTTCCATCAACCATCTTCCCGAAACACGGGCTAGAAAAAAAGTAGCAGAAAACATATTTTCCATTCGGGATTCAAACTCTTATACATTTGTGCTCTCTGCTCTTCGCTACAAGTAACTCGCAGAATTAAAATTCCATGAAAGGCAACAATTGTGGAAAACTCAAACGTCAAAATCGACGGGACAGTTCATCATGTGTGTGTGTGTGATAACGACATGTAATTTTTGAAGAACAATTTTAGAGGAAAGTATATGACAAATTGAAAAAAATTTTCATATAACGCATTTAGTCGTTTAGAACTTCGTCAGACTAAAATTATGTTTACGTTGATGCGACTACACATGCGCGCGAACGAAAGACGCTGGGAATTTAAAATTTAAAGATTTTTTTTTTTGTCTTATTAATATCTGTTTTTTTTTTGTTTGTTTTTTTTGTTTTTTTTTTGTATCGAGCTAATTTAATTTAGATTATCTTTTTCTGTCTTTGCATCAACATAATCCTTAACATAGTTCGATAAAGTCCTAGATGAAACCATTTAAATATTTTCTTTCGAAAACTTTTCGGACACTCGGACTAACAGTTAAGGGTGAACAACTCTTGTTTTATTCATTGTATATTTTGCATTAAACACACACACACTTAAAGAAACATTCCAAAGCAATTTTAATTTGCTACATTAAACAATATTGGTCTTGAAAACTCACTCTAGCTCAATCAAATCATTTGAGTCAATTTATCTTAAACAATCTATGATTTTTATACGAATATTTGTTGTTGTTTCACATCATTTTTGTTGTTTCTATCTTGCATTATTAGCCTTGTGCAATACGATAAATTTTAAATGTTTGTGGAGAAATGATTTTTTTTCTTTTGATACGCAGCCAACCTCACATATCCAAACATCCTTCTGATAAATTTGAAACCTATTTAACTTTCACCTCGGCAACAATATCAACGTTAGGTCCGATGATGTTTTAAATGCCGAAGCGCGTCACACAAACATTTTCCACTTTGTCATTAATTTTCCTTATATTGTTTTGCTATATAAAAATGTATTTATCATTTCCCCGACATATATAAAATGCTTCGTCTCTTCGCGATTATGGCGCCCCACGGATTCGTTTTCTTTATTATTTTTGAATTGCTGAAATCTTTTCGAAAATAATGCAGTGGTTTCCTGTTGTTTCCTTCACGATTTTGAATTCAGATTTGTGTTTCACTTACACTTGAACAGACTACATTGTTATTTAATCCATAGTTGAGGAGAGAAGTCATTTGTAAGATGTGAACATAATAGGCAATTCTGCTCCTTTCCGTTACGTTACCAGCACATTCTTTGAATGTTTATAGAATGTAAAAATATATTAAACTCTTGCAAGCATTTCGGCGTGATCATTCTCCAACTGACTTTATGCAAGCTTTATTAAAAGAAATGCGATCCTTGGAATAAAAAGATATGTTAAATTGATAAATATAATATAAACCTTTACATGCTGAAAAAAGATCTGTATTACCCTGTTTAAGTAAATGAGAGTTACTTCCCTTGAATTCTATATGCGAAGTTACTTCCCTTTATAAAATTCGTTTTCCCGATTTAATTTTTAGTGAGAAATATTGAATAGCAAAATGCTATTCCTTTTATTTGACGAGGATCGCTTTCCGTTATTCATCAACTATAATTTCCATTAAACTATGTTTGTTGGTTCTACGTTGAATAACTCAAATTCGAAGATTTTGGGGATTTTTTATATATAATGCTACAACCTGGAGTTTTTTCGTGGCTTGAAGCTATGAAAAGAAAAAAATCTGGCAACTAGGATTTCGCATCTCATGTATTACTTTTCCCATGTCAAGATCACTCGCCGATATTTGGTCGAAATACATGTGTATTTAAGGCTAAATCTCAAGTAAAAATGACATTATTTCACATTTAGTTGAAATACAGAATCAATACTGTTTCCTTTATATGATTCTATATCATTCTGATGACACTTGTTTTTGGGGGGTTTTTTCTTTAATTAAAAAGAAAAATGAAAACACGTATTTCAAGATACGAACGACAATATGGGAGAAAACTGTTATCACTTTGAAACAAGACAAATAATGGCGCCGTATTTATTTGCATTTTCATTAAACTAATTCCGTTTTAAAAAATATGCTTTACGCAACACGCAGAATATCAGCATCAATAATAGATAGAAGCATATTTAAATAGGTTAAATATTTTCTTCTTTTATGTGTCGTGTCTCTTCAGAATGTAGGTGACTATGGCTCTCCACAGCTTCCTGCCCTTTGTAAGTCCAAACCAGGTTTATCCACTAATCGCCCCCACTTGTCCGTCTTCTGCGTTCCAATTATATAAACTAATTCAATAGGCTTTTCGCTGTTTCTCTCTGACCCTCTTCCGTTTATGTCCTGTGAGTGTTAAATTCTCCGAGCCTTCTATCTTCATGCGTCAGATACTTACTGCCTCTTTCTGATTGTAAGTATGTGTTCTTTTTGTTTCTATTTTCTTTAAGGGTCCCTTGTTGCTCATGTTTTTTGTCCATGGTATTCTCAGCATCCTTCTGGAGAACTATATCTTTGTCGCTCCAAGCCTCATTTACATTTGTGAAGAAATTGACAGCATACGGAAGTGATATATTCTTTGTTTCTAACGAAAATTCCCTATCTTTTAATACTTTGTTTAGTTTTTTGGAAGTCATCTTTCATTATTCCAATAGATGCGCCTTCAGATCTCTGCGACTTCTATAGCCCAACCCAGATAACTTCTGTACTTGATCGATTCTGATGTCTTTAATTCGTAGCTCACGCCTTGGGATGTCAATCTTGCTGACGGCCAAATATACTGTCATTTTTTACAGTTTATAGTTGTCCTTTTTTCTAACATTCCTGTACTATTTCTGACTCATGGTCACATCACATTGAAACAGGTTATTTAAAGCCAGAAAATATTTTTAGATTGTAAGAATTTTTTTTAGATAATAATGGTTTAGCGATACAAGTTTCACTTATTAACCCGTAGCTGCTGGAGAAGAGGTGGCTTCATACCTTTCTCAAATGTATTTGGACATAAGTGAATATAACTAACTCAATGGGAATTCGAACTCAAGCTCTCTGAATAAAAATTCTGAACCATTATCAATTACGCCACCCGCACTCGACGTTGCTCGACTTCAGTGATCGTAAATTACTTTTATTCGGTTATAAAAAAAAAAAAGAGTTTTGTTTTTCTTGTGCTGAGTTGTCTCGGTTCTGAATTGTCCCGGCCTTCAGACGGTAGTGTTCAGTCGGCGGTGTTGAGTTGTCCCTTCCTGATCTGTTGGACTGTTAACATTGTCCTTGCCTATAATAAATCCTGGTAGGACTCTTAGGGTCGCGGTGCTATATAGGTTGAATAAATACAGTGAGGACACATATATCTTACGCCTCTAATGTTGTATACTTGTTCGATTCGTTTTCTATCTGCGTGTATGCAGTGTAAACAATAAAATAAAATATACCTAAATCGGCCAGGACTATGAACTCCAGTCAGAATGCGGTTGTGAGCATACTGGGGGCGCATGTTACCGCACCATACCTGAAAGAAGAGAAAAATTACTTTAAAAAAATGTTTATGCATCGGTGTTTGACTCTAGTAATTATGTAATTTTATTTCCAGCCTACACATATCGGCTTTCAACAAATAGAGTTATTGATCCATTTTTTTTTTATAAATTTGCGTATAGTTAAATTATTAAGTTACAGCTTTAGAACAAATTATCAAATACTATTACATAACCTATTTGCTATCAGCGTTTTATATACAGAGTGATTAAAAGTAACTGCCTATTTTATGTATGATGGACTCTTCCGTCTTGTATTATAGTCAAGAAGAGTCCATCATACATAAAATAGGCAGAAGAGTCCATCATACATAAAATAGGCAGAAGAGTTCATCATACATAAAATAGGCAGTTACATTTCAATCACCCTGTATATTATGAGGTAAAAGTGGAAAGATTATACTGAATCTATTGCTAGGTCAGCTGCTAAGAAAGTTGGTTCACTGTGTCGTACGAGACGATTTTTCTCTCCAGAATCTATCTTACATATGTATAACTGTACTATTCGTCCATGCTTAGAATATTGCTGACACATATGGTCCAGTGTCCCTGCTATTTACTTAATCTCCTTGGTAAAATCCAAAGAAGAATCAGCAATATTATTAGCCCTAATATTATTAGTCACTTTCCCATCGGCGTAAGGTTGCCTGTCTGTGTCATTTCTATAAATACTTTCATGTTAATTGTTCGGATGAGCTTTTCGGTATCGTGCCCAGACTTAATCTGCAAAAACTTAAATGCAATGTCAATCGCTATCTACTGTCCACCTGATTACTCTTTTCTCTTCCAGCTCATTATTAATGTTTCTGCTACTAATTCTTGCACACCCGGTAACCTCTTATGTGTTAGTGGCTTTACATACTTGCATGGGATGATACCGATTTAAAAAAAAGTCCTTGCCGTTTTTTTACGTCGTATTGGATGAAGTTTTCACTGATGCTCAAATGAGCGTGTCACGTGCCTGGAAAGGGGTAGGGTGGGATAACATTGCTCTTGACCAATTCAGGTGCAATGCGCACATATATCAGTCATAGCTCGAGCCACAGAAATGCAACATGTATCAAAGCAGTTCGTTCGGAGTCGTCTGCTTTATGACCTTAAGGTGGGCTTGTCCGCAGCCGCATCAAGTCGCCGATTACGTCAAGCCTTTAGAGATAATGCTGTTACTGAACGCACCACTAGGCATTGGTTACAGAAGTGGAAATCGGGAGATCGATCCCTTCGTGATGAACCTAGCAGTGGCCAGCCACAGGTCCTGGATTATGAGGCCCTGAAGGCGGCTGTAGTGAAGGACAACAGCCAAACCTGCGGTGAGCTTGCCGAACGCTTCTAGGTTCCTGATGAAACAGCCAGACTTCAGCTGCACCACATAGGGAAGGCATACAAGTTGAGTAAGTGGGTACCCTATACACTGTTGGAAGCCAACAAGCAACAGAGAGTGACATACTGTTTCACGTTGCTTTCTTACGTTGCTTTCGTACTCATACTTGACCAAATGCTCACCAGTAACGAAAAGTCAGTCCTGTATGACACTCCCAAGCATACCAAACATTGGTTGTGACCACGAGATCATGTGCGTTATGCCACAAGACCACCTTTACACCCACTTCTAAATCCATAGACAATCAATATTTAGGTTCTAGCAATTGTTGCAGCCTAAGGAAGAATGTTTATTTACACTATTTATATGTGATATTATTTATTGAAATTCTTGGCAAAACGTCGGCTAATTACCAATTGATTCAAACTTTATGAAATGGTAAATAATAATAGTTGGTTCCCCTATCTTAATAATTTAATAAATGTTTATAAATGAATAAAAATTGTTTTCACATTTATTTCTTTATAAATTGTTAAATGAAAAATATTGCATTGCGTTAGTTCTAATTGTATTCGTTTTTAGAATGTTGTAAATACAAATATTAGTAGTGGTGTTTAATATTTTTGTTGTAAATTCTAAAGAACAAAATGAAAATGTATAAATTGACTTTCATCATATGTTTAGGCTTTATTCCGATTCAATTTATCGCTTTTTAAAACAACAAACATTGCCGAGGATGGAAGGTAGTTAAAAAAAAGCGGTGTCCTGAGAAAAACCGTCCTTTTGACACTTCGTTTTATAGCGAACACATTTGTCCATGTTTGCCAATTGTCTTCTCTAAGATCTACAACCTTTATTTGCTCGAAACAAAAATCAAATATTAACCATCTCCTCCCTTTAATATAACCAAATAGAACCTTTCTCATTATATGTAAATATATTAATGCAACGACTAATGTATATTTGACGTTTTCTACGAAAGTTCTTTTAGTGAATCACTTCTAGTTTCCGGATCCGGAACATTTTGACGTAGGAAAAGTCGCCTCAGGAATTTTCGCCGTAGGAAACTTCGCCGTAGATGATTTTTGCCGTAAGACAATTTCTCTGCATGTTTTTTTGCGATACCCTTATCTTGAACGTCCCATTTGGAATAATGTTCAATTTAATATGCGAAGTACCTTGTTATCAAGTATATATGGATATCTTTTTTACAGGATCTAACATCACGAAAGAAATTAAAAAGTAAACATTTATTTAAAAAATAAAAGACTAAAAATATATCAAATTAATAAAAAAAAATAATTTAAAATGTGTGCAAATTCCAAGCAATGCTTCGTAAATAATGTGTTTGTTTTTGGTTTGTTTTTGCGTTGGACTGTAATTTCCCGCTGAAGTCTTGCATTGATATCAATATATATTTTCTTCATTTGTACTGCATCTCCTTGATCTAAACCCCACTTTTTCTTTTTTTGCTAATGTCTGTCCCCTTATCAAATACGCAATTAGTTTTAACAAATGTAGGTGCATGTTAGTCATGGAGTTCTGTACTGCATTGTGGAAGCCTTCTATGCTATTGTTGGTTGCTAGATATACTTCATAACAAGGAATTTCGCATATTTAAAAAAAATGCGGCGAGATTGTCTTACGGTAAACATCCTATACGACAAAGTTTTCTACGGTGAAAATTCCTGAAGCGAGTTTTCCTACGGCAAATATGTTTATGGCGAATGTTCCTAGAACCCTAATTTTCAATTAGTTCCTCAAATTATATTTCCATAATTATATACATCATTTAATCATTCCCTATAATGCGTTCTTCAAAAATTTGCATGGCCATATTTTTTTATAGAATGACGTAATACAAAATTAAGTATTAATTAAAAGTAACCTGAATATCAATTTGTTTCATATAATGACTTTACTGAAATTCTCTATAAAAAGTTTTACCTGTGCGAAACCAAGGAAAAATAGTTGCTCGTGGGTGAAATTAAGACCTGGAAGTAATGGTTCTTCGTAGCCTCGTTTACCGATCCAATTTTTATAGGCCTGCAATAAATTGAAAAACAAAAGGAGAAATTTCATTAGGGTCAATTGAATTGAATCACCTCGCAAAATACCAAGTGGCTTTCCATTTCATATTAAAAACAAACATAAAATTATAAGATATGATAATCGCAAAACAATAGTTATGAAGTGGGATTTCCTTCGTATTCCGGTAAATAACCCCAGCTTCCTCCCGAAGGAGAGGTAATGCCTGAGGTGGGGGGGATGTCCCTCTAGGGTTTGAGTCAATATTATTAGCAGAGGCGCGAACCCCTCTTCGCCCAGCATATTATACTTAGCTACCGACAGCTTTTCTACCTATACTGATTGGGCATTTATGTAGTTTATGCCTTAGCCATGCTATTAAAATATCACTATAAATACAAAGACATCATTTTCTATCTGAAAACTCAAGCAGAAATATCACTGAAATGTCTAATTATGGTTTAACAAGATGTTATTTAAAAACAAAATTGTCATTGTTTTCTTACATTTTCACTCTCTTTTTAAGCGTTTCCAATTCCGTTTTATATTTATATTTTTAAATTTTTAGTTATATTGAAATGTTCTATTTTTCTATTTATTAAACACAAGCATAACAAATTTAATCAACCAATTAAGCAAAGTAATAATTCTTGCGCATAATCTAAGCCAGTTAATTACTGGTAATAATTAACACGCTTAATTTTTGCGTTAAAAATGGTTTGGAAAAAAACAATAGGACAGTATGGTCACTTAGTGGAAACAAAATATTTTTTAAAACGTTTAGTGAAATTTCAGGTACTAAATTAAAAGGAACCAATTTTGATAACGTCATAGATATTTTTAAAAATATTTTGAAGTAATTTCCAAACTCACTTAGAAGAGTAATGTGTATATAAATCAAATTTGTAAACAAATTCATGTCGGAATTATTAAAAGAGATTTTTAAAATTTGCTGTTAAAAAAATCGTGTGCCATCATCCTTAGTTAATGAATTAATCCCACATTTTCTTAAGTTCTTAGAAAAGGTCCATCTATTTCACCCATTTTTTAACTCTCATCCCTAATAATGCACTGATTTAAGTTTTAAATTGACTTGGTCAATAATCAGTAAGGCACTCACTCGAAACGACTGCTTTAAACCACCGTTATCTGCAATATTTTCGCCCATTGTATTTCTGCCATTAATCTGGAAACAGAGTAAAAACAGAAAAAAAAACAATTAAACAAATTAAAATAGTACAGAAGTTTGTTTCTCCTGAAATAAAAATACAAATACAATTTTATCATTATAATTTTTGCTACGATGACCTACCATAGTTTACAGGAGGAAAACGTTCTAAATATTGCAATAATTATCGAATAGTCAGTCGTGCAATAGCTATGTTGGTCTCACAGCAGTGTATGATTACATCAATAGACTTCCTTTTCTCATCTCTCAGAAACCCTCTTCCAAGCTCTGAATCCACTTACAGAGGAAAAGTAATGATCCCCAAAATCGTATATGTCTGGGGAAGATCCAAAAACCAAATTTAAAATCACGTACGACAAGGAGAAAATGAATCACCAAGTTATTTAATAACTTCATAGAGAATGTTTTGTGCGACGACAAGCACAGATATGATGAGATGGACACTGATCATTTAAGCAGCTTGTACCACATTCCAAATAGATATACTAATAAAAAAAAACAGTATTCCTGTTTTCCCTCCATAGGCCAGTGTGCTGATGACGGGGGTTGGGAATCTGCAGTTGACATAGGTGTTCGTAGTTGGTATAAGAATGATCTTGAACAAAAATTCAACATTCTTTGCCACATATTCCAAGAATAACTTAAGCTGACCTTTCCAAAACAGAAGTTATGATCTGGAATTGGAAAGAGAGAAATGATAGCGCATCACAAAAATTCAGAATGTTGAATTAATTCCAAACGCTTCAAATACCTCGGTATTATAACAAAACCAGTAATATGAAATAAAGAGATTGAACATAGGATATGTTGCTCTAGGTTCATTTTTGGCACCAAACAGTACTATGCTACAAAACCAAAATATTAACTTGAAAGCTTTTATAGCCTCACTAAATCTAGACTATGAGTGGACGGCATGGAATCCGACTTTTCCAGTAATGTCTAAGCTATATATACAATCGTTTTCTCAGATCACTGATTAAAAATGGCTTCAAGTGAATGAATCCTTGAGCTCTTAATGAAGATAATGCCTCATTACACCTATATGACATGAATGGTCGCTCGTACCCGCGTATTCCTTCTGTTAGAGCGGCTAGTCAATCCCTGTCGCAGATTCCAGATTAGGCACATTTGTGCTTGTTCAACGCCCACAGAGCCCACCTGTGACTTATACTTCAATTATGCTGAGCGGATTTTAGTTACAATTTCTGGGAGAGTGATCAACAGTCTGAATAAGGCCAGTACGTTTGAACTCTCGGTCACGATGACTTGTAACTTTTGGTAGCACATTCATCGACGGCTTCCAAATACTTTGGTCAACCCGTGGTATGGTTTTCAGACACTTTTCAAAGGTACTGCACGCTGGGATAGCTTCGCAAGACCGATAATAAAGAAGTTACCTTCCTGATAGATCGAACATGGTAAGATTCGAACCCAGGTCTCATTATCTGAAAGTGAATGTTCTAACCACTCGGCCACGTGACCTTATGCAGACCTGTATACCGGGGTTGCATTAAGAGCTTTACTAAATAAAATAAAATAAAAACATATCATTTGAATACTCCTAACAACAGCAACGACAAATGGATTGCACGTGTAAGTAGAATAAAAAATAAGGATATAATGGAGAAGTTAACTTTCCATAGAACCTTAACAGAAGAACTGGAAGAAAACTTCCATCAAAGTCTGATTTCCCGATAAAATGTTTTAAGAAAAAGATTTTATAAATTTCAATCGACAGTAATACTAACTGTTCAGCCAATGAATGTCGAATGTTTCCTCTACGGAATCAGTTAATTTCAACTTTGCCATTAATCTCTAGTTTTGTATTGTAATCGTTTTCGCTAAAAATAACAAAAATGTTAGTTTTATCATTTCTGCGAGTTATTTTATTTACTTGTTTCACCCCAAGCAAGGTGTTGATGCCACTAGAACACAGGGTGGTTACAAGGAATAAAATTGAAAGAACGGGGCGGGGAATTGACGAAATGACCAAAGGTACAGGGTTCAAGAAAACGGAAGGTGGTGATTGACGTTGCACTTAAATTTCTAAAAAATTACTATACAGTATGTCCATAAAGTCTGAACACATGGGAAATCTCATTAACTAATGTTTTTACCTCCACAGATGAAACATGGTTTTATGTAAAGAAGAAAGAATTGACTTCTTTCTCTGGGGTATGCTGAAGGAGAAAGTGTACTCAATGAAAATCGCAGATGCAACACACTTGATTGAACACATAAAAAGTGAATGTGCTAAAATTAACGGCAATGTGGAGTTATTGCATCTTGTTCACGTGAATCTTACAAAGCGCATCAACCTTTATATCACAAATAATGAATATCATATTGAAGATGTTATGTGTTAAAATTCCAACTCAAAAAAATGTTATTGAAAATTTAATTTCTTGAAAATATGCATTTTTGCCTATGTGTCGAGATTTAGGGATACCCAGTATTTTGGTTATTTCTAATTAAAGGCTTGTTTTAATCGCTGGGTTCGTTTGCTGACGTTATATCTATTTATTATACCTTCAGTCTTAAGTAAGGTTCATAACCCAGAGTGAGTTGAGATGTGTTAGTCGTATTGCCATTGGAAGATGTTTTGTATGGAATATCAAGGATATTCTATTCTATTTTTACACTGTAGTTGGTCTTATTTAAAGATGGCACGTGTATCAGTCTTCCTAATTACAATGTTTTTTTTTTAATTATTTCTAAATTCAATGTAGGCTTACGTTAGTACTTTGCTTTGTTTTCTGTATCTATATCTACTTTTTATATCTAAAATCTTAAGTTAGATTCATAATCCAGATTAAGTTGGGATGTGTTAGTCGTCTTGTAGTTTTAGGATTTACAAACTTCGCTTAGTTATATTGCTATTAAAATTGGAATAGAGACTGAAATTCGGTAGCAGATGAATAAATGTCTTTTATTGTTTGGAACAATGCAAAACAAGACTCTATTCTCAACAATAAAGCTAAATTTTAAAAAAGAAATAAAGAAAATCACAATGGCCTCCTCAAGAAGCGGATAAACGTATTACAGCTAAAAACATTGATGCCGGATTCATCAAACTCCACAAAGATTATGAACGAATATTACACCGGTTACTGATCTTTGAACGGAAAAACACAAATTGTTAATAAATTCGGTGCTGCGTCCCAAAATTTCATAAATTCTACCCCTGTATATCATTTAGGGTGTGCGGTGTGGTGCAATGTCTAATGGCTCCGAAGTAGAAATCGGAGAGCCAAGTTCGAATTCCAGTCAGGTTTGTTACATTCACTTACGCACAAATACTTGGGAAAGGCATGAACCAAATATGTGTTAAATAACAGGGCAGATTGGAACTGATAGCCTTGGTTGGCAGAAACGGCAGCCGACTTCGAGAAATTTTCTTCCTAGGCAGTCATTTTCACAGATTGAATAATGGACATGAAAGAAATGTGCAGTGATGACCACAACAATTTCTTTTGTTTTAATGTCAAACAATAATACAAAAAAACACCAAAAAAATTAACATAGAACAAAATTATTGGTCCTCTTGCCTCAATAAGTAATTATGCAAACTCTATTCTTGATTATTGCCTTTAACTGTTTTTGATAGTTCTTTACAAGATCCCTACACGCACTAAATAGATATTTTCCTCCATTCTTCCTTGGTAATATCTTCTTGTCCCCGACCAAATTGGAATAACTTCTTTATCTTAGTTTTCTCTTCAAATATACCAATAAATTTTCAATGGGGTTTATGTTAGAACTTTGTGCGAAGTACACCAATATATTAATTTTGATGTCATCAAAGTATTTTGTAACAATTCGTGCTGTGTGTTTCGAGTCATTGACATGTTAGAACGTCCATTGACGTCCCAAAGATAGCTTTCGTTCACTATTATTTTTAAGAATAGCCAATCACTGCTCTTTATCCATAATACTGTGTACTCTCACTAGTTCTCCTTGTCCAGAAGCAGCAAAATATCTCTAGAGAAGAATTCTCCCACCAATGTGCTTAATTATAGGAAGGGTATTTTGGAGTTTTTGAGCTTCATTCACTTTCCCCCATACATAACGGGAGTTCATGTGACCAAATAATTCTAGTTTGTATTCATCTGACCATTCAATATTTACTCCCATGTTCTAGATGGCTCCTAGCACAAGATAATCTACATTTTAGGTGTTTAGCCTTAAGCAAAGGAGTTTTCCTTGGGTGACAAGCGCAAAGTCCTGCTCGATGAAGGCATCTAGTGACTGTCTTCATTGATACATTTAACCCTGATGTCTTTACATCATTGACAATGTTCTTTGTTAAGTGAGGATTCTTTGAGACCTCTCTAACAAATTCCATTTTCTCAGAAATTAACTGTCTTCTGCCAGTCCTTAATTTATTCTCAACGCAATGGGTCCCATTGTACTTCTTCATAATGCTACAAATCGTGGATCTATGAACATTTAAATACTTGGAAGGTGTCGTGTATTCATCACCTTGTTTGTACGCATCAATTATTATCTTCTTGTCAAGTTCAGTCGTCTTCGTCATGGTTGCAGAACAAATGAGTTATCATGGTACGTGGCACTCACATATTGTCTTCATTATCTTTATAGAATAAGGTCAATACTATTTCATTTTCAAAAGGGTGTTTGTATTAAATGTCAAATTAAGAAAAAAAAAACATTACATTTGCCATAGAGAAATATTATTTCATAATTTCCATTAGTGGAGGAGGGGAATAATTTTGGACTACCCCAACTTTTAGAAAAATCTATAACTATGAATATAATAGACCGAAACTTCATAAAATTTCATGAATTATTCAAAACTAAATACGGAATCAACTATTTAGAGTAAATTTAATAAGTACTAGCAAATATTCGAATTTCCTTAGAAAATATGTAAATATACAGTAAGAGTAAATAATTTCTGTCCACAACTGTATATGTCGCCTCAAGTCTCCTCTTTCTTTGTTTTTAACGAACTATTTCTGTTTCATAATATTTCTGTTTCATAATATTTCTGTTTCATAATATTTCTGTTTCATAATACTATGTTTAGGTTCTGGAAGTCCTCTTTCGCTATTCGTTTGTTTTACTCATTGCACTCCAAGCAAGGCTATAAAGCCACTAAGATGCACGGAGTTACTGAATGTTAGAGAATATGACAGAAAAACACTATTAATGAAAGACAACAATAAAAGAATAAGAATTAAGAAGATATAATATAACGATTGACATTGTATTTAATTTTGTTAAGATCAAAGTTGTCTGGAAAGCAAAGGCGAGAAGGGTAATAGAAGAAACTGTTAGCATAGAACTTGTGGTGTCATATTTTTCCATCCTCTGTTAAAACATTTCCCAGATATCCACATTTTTATACTTGCTTAATTTTTGTGTCTCCAAATCGTAGTCCACATCTTGGGCTGCTCATCTTCCTGACAACCATACATTCTGTCTTCTTACAGTTGATCTTGATTCGTCCGTGTATTGAATACTGTTCCAAAATTTGGTCTGGTGCTCCTACTGTACATCTCGAAATTCTTGGCAAAATCCAAAGACAGGTCTGCAATAGAATCGATCCTAACCAGCCATCTCGTCTCCAGTCACTTTCTCACCGACATGACGTAGATTTCATGTCTGTTCTACAAATATTTTCATGGCAAATGCTCAGAAATATTTTGAAAGGGACGTCTAATTTCGCTACTTATTTATCTTAAATGAACTTTGATTGAATCTTTTTGGGTTTTTTTTTTTGAACTCATGGTTTGTGCAACCTATATAGATTTTTATGTTTTCGGGGTTCTCAATAGATGAGATATTGCATTGGTATACTAATGATTCCATGCGACATTTATTTTACAGAGGTCAGTTATGAGGATTTCTACAGTTACATAATTTTTGTTTATCTTCATCTCTTTTTATTTTTATATTGTCTAAATTTCTTTGGTTTTGATCTAAGTGTTTATTCAAGATATTAGCATTATGTTTCTTAATAATTTTCTCTAAGTTTTCTGTACAGCTGTAACTTAATTTTAGTGTATTTTTATCGAAAATAGTACTGAATTTACTATCTTTAGGAAAATGTTTAACGATTAATGCAAGGAATTTTTAACCTAAATTATTCTTTACCAATTGGTTGTATAGCAAATTATTTTTCTACTTCTGTTTTTTCTCTGCTTTCCATTTCCCTTTTTTATATAAGTTAATTTTGGGGTTTTGTAGCCGCTATCTTAGAGCTTTATCATAGTAAATCTTCTCATTTGCTGAATTTGTACATATTCTTTTTTTGATAGATAAAGGTATATGCCTAATTATAGATGGAGGATGATTAGATTTAGGGTGTATATATAAAGGATTAGTATTGGGTTTTTTATAAGTTATGTATACATTTTTCATTAATTCTAATGTTATATAAAGGAAGTTAACTTCGCTTAACGTAATTTTTAAGTTCAGGCATTTAAATTCTTTATATAATATTTTTCTGATTTTATCGATTTTAAAGTTAGTAGATTTCTTTATAATCATAATTCCATCGTCTCTGTATAAACCAATGTTAGTTATATTAATTTGACGGTGCGCTGTGGGATTTTATAATATAAAAAGACCTCAGAAGACTCAGCTAAGTCTATTGATCCCATTGTAATGTCAAAGTGGTCATAAGAAGTTTATGGCCCTAGCCTTTAATTGTATGTAAATGGATTTCAGTTTCTGCTATGGGATGCTACTCTATGCCAACAACGAGTCTGTTTTACAAGATTTTACAGTAAGATAAATTAGTTAAGTGATAGATTCATAATTCTGTGAGTAACACCGAAACATCCATTGGAATATATATATATATATATATATATATATATATATATATATATATAGAGAGAGAGAGAGAGAGAGATACCCTTCCCCTAACTATTGGATTTTTGGAAAATGTTTGTCAATCTTATTTGAATTAACGCACAAAATATTTTTACCGTAGTGTTTTTCGTTTTGTTTCTCCCTGTTTTTTGTTTTTGTTTTTTATAGCTCTATTCTCATACAACTTTCGTTTATCGTTTTATATTTTGACTGATTTGTTAAAATTGTTGCTGAATAAATGGATTAAAATAAATGGGAAAAAAATAAACGAATTTAATTGAATATATACTATATGTCAAAAGTCTGCCCCCCCATGATATTTCGAAGAATCGCCCACAAATTGAAGTTTGCGTGCACTTTTCAAAACTATTTTAATAGCTCACTTGGAGCCAGAGCGATTTTACATTTGTAAAGCATTTTATCCAATAATAATAACGAAAATTATCTATTATAGCATAAAGTTTCCTTAAAAATTTTCTCCTTTTTGTTTAATCTACCTTGTTGCCTAATGGTACTCTTAGAGCTGACGGATTTTAAATTTTAGGTAACCCCTCTCTAAAACATAATTGAATGCTATGCATTAATGCGTTGAATAGTTCTAGAATCTCAGCTTAGCAGGAATTAATTAAACCTTAGAAGGTATGAAACTAGTAATTATTTAATCCATTGGGTCGGCCCCAAACCTTTGACCTATAGAATATATATTCCTTGGTTTTTAGTAGCAAAGAACAGTATTTCATTTAGCATCTCTTCTAAATTTGAAATTTAATTTTGAATGCTACGTCTCTTCAGAACGTAGACGATCATAACTCTCCACACTTTTCTCTTTTATTATAAGTGAACTGTCATGAAACGAATTCCCTGGCCTACTCAACGGTTTGGAATCCAGACTTTTCTTTCTCTAAGACTGGTTACCACCCAAGGTTACAGATCACATTCTATTCTGCTATTTATGATTGGAGAAAAAGGAACGGATTAATATATTTCACAAGGTCATTTGCGCGAAGCTAAATGCAACTGACCAGCCCTGAACTTGAACTCGGCTGACCGAGATGACTTTCCGATGTTTGTTTCACTACAATTTATTCCTGGCCTTAAACGTCCAGGGTATGGTGAAAACTACACCCGGCATTTAGGCCTCTGACCGAGAGGTTTTAAGGAGCGTGGAACCACCTCTTAATTGCCGACCGGGGTGGTAGCACCTGTTAGCGTCCCAGCTATGGCCAAATAGTTAAGACTATAAAAGTATAAAAATAGATTTATTTTTATATTAAAAATACCGGCAATATATTTTTTTTTAAATTACCAAAAATAAATTTTTGAAAAAGAAAGTATTACCAGCAATACATTTACTCTCGACAAAAACCCTCTTTGCAAAAATACATCAATTAAACTTGATCTCCAAACTGATTTCTTACAAAGAATACATATTCTATTCATAGGAACCTCTCCTAAAAATCTTGTCAGAATTAAATAACCCATTGAAGTTGGTATGCCGTAAAACAAAATAAAACGAAATCTTGACCTTAAACTTGATCAGTAATTGTCAGCCTGACTTGTTCTTAATTTCAAACTGTATGAGTTGTTAAAAATTCTCCAATAGAACCCTACCTTCATATTTGCTTCTGGAACCAAATAATTTGAATACTGGTTTTCGATACAACTGGCTTTCTCTTCAAATCTGTCAATCACCTCTGTACTCCACCATTGACGCAAGTTCCCTTCTTTATCAAACTGACGACCTGTATAAAAAGAATAGAAAGCATTTTTTCAATTTTTTGTAACACAATATATTTGGCCATATATAATTACAATATATGCAAAAATAGTACGACAACGAAGTGTTTTCTATTTAACCTATACAACGAGATGATCCTAAGAGAACTAGAAAATGTAAATGGATTTATGAACGGTGGGCACAATCTTAACAAGATACGTGGATGACATTCTGTTGACGAGAAAACCACATTCACACTACCTTAAACAAAATGCCTGGAAGGAAATAGTGAACTTGAGGAGTCTAAATTCCTGACAAATTCTTTTAATAGAAAGACTTTTTTAAATTTCATCCGACACTAACTGTTCGGTCAATGAATGTTGAATATTTCCTATATGGAAACGGCTATTCTCATCATTACTAATATTATTATAAAACTAGCAACAAAATCAAATTCTTGGAAAAAAGTTTTGCGAAACTATATATTTTAATACTGGTCAACAGAAACCCGTCAAACTGAAAAAACCAAAACTTCGTACTTAATGACTATTTTTCTTTTATACTTCACTCGAGTATTGAACTACTTATTTACGCCATGTTGAAAAAACAGTTCTAGCACGATTACCGAAGTTAAGCAACGTAAAGCCTGGTCAGTACCTAGAGGGGTGACCGCTTCGGAATACCAGGTGCTGCAAGTTTGGATGTACGGATGGTGTACTAGCGTAATTGTTAATCGGATTTCCAATTCCAGTTGGGTTCGTTATATTCATGTACGCCTTGGAAAAGATATGAATCCATACCTTCTTCCCGCATCTATCGGTTAATTAGTAAAACTTGTAAGAATAAATCATTTTTATTCCGAAAAACGAATTCTTACAATCTAAAAATACTTTCTGGCTTTAAATAACCTGCAAAAGGTGGGTAAGCCTTAAAAATGAATGAATGAATCAATCAAAATAGACGTATTTACGCCATATCATAAATAAGTAACTTTCTATAGAATGCGTTGAGTGGCTCATAATGGCACACTATTGGTCAGAACTTTGATGACACGAACTGAGTGGGGGGGGGTATAATCCTGACAGACATGGATTGCCTTTATTGAATCTTCTTTTATATATAAGACCAAAAAGGCACGAATTCACGCAGACGGTTGCAAGAATTAGAAGCGACAACATAATTTCCACACCCAGATTCCTCAGTGGAGTAAGCCTTTACATGGTGATGACATTCTAGCCAACGTGTTGATATACTTTCACCCGATAATTTCCCTCTACTTCTCACTTCCTTCTCGAAATGATGCTGCAAATATGGTCCCTCATGTAATAAAGCGAGATAATAATGAAAAAAAAGAAAATTTTCCCTCGTTGAAGCAGTCTCTGATGTAGTTTTGGGTTCTGAAGAAAATAAAGCCAGAGACGACACGAAACGCAGCACTTATATCTTAGCAAAAATCTCTAGTGTAATATTTTATGAGAAATATTGCAATGTCTTCCATTATACAAACCTCTGTCATCAAAGCCATGTGTCAGTTCATGTCCAATGACAACACCAATCGCTCCGTAATTCATCGACCTAAAAATGATAGACAACAACAATTAACAGCATATAAACAAAAGAAAAAGGATACTTTTATGTACTAAATACAAGTGCCGACACGATTAAGTTATTCCCTTCAATCTCCACCCCGAGTAACGCTCTTTATTTTGTACGGTACGCTTATTATTTTTTTAAATAATGTTCTCCGCGGTACGATTATTTTATTACATAAATAAATAAATAAAAAGCCCCGTGTACATCATGAATTTAAAATTACCCACCGTCTGAATATTTCATTCGGCACTTATATTTAGTAAAGTACTTATTTTACAAGGCGTGTTCTCTTTTGGATTAAGTGTGTACCTTTATTCATATAAAGATTTATATATATATATATATATATATATATATATATATATATATATATATATATATATATATATACATATATATATATATATATATATATATATTTATATATATATATATATATATATATATATATATATATATATATATATATATATATATATATGTGTGTGTGTATGTGTGCATTTCTTATTACTACAAATATTATTTTTAGTGGGTACGCTTGTTTAAATTGCTAGCCCTGTTTTGTTGTTGTTGTTGTTTTCTCTCTTAAACGTCGAATTTAATAACATTCGTTCTCGATCTTGAAGTCCTACTAGAGAAAAATTGTGCCTCCCGCTTTAGTAAGACTTTTTGATCTAGGCCGGTTGTTATTAATTTCACTGTTTAAGAAAATAAAATAAAATCTGGAATAGCAAATCAGACACGTGTACAGGCTAAAAATGATGTTTATTGTAATAAGAAATAATTTCGGATTTAAAAATGAATTTAAAAATATGTATGCACGAGAAGATGTAAAAAGTTATTGAGCTGACCCACTTCCCCAAATTTGACAAACATCAAAATTCAGAAATTTTAGGCACATCTTCTTACATACATGTGTGTGTGTGTGTGTGTGTGTGTGTGTGTGTGTGTGTGTGTGTGTGTGTGTGTGTGTGTGTGTGTGTGTGTGTTTTAAAGTTACTGCATTAGTTATGTCTATTATATTTAATGTTCTTTCCTTAATGGTTGATTACTTTCCGTCTCTGTGTTGAAAGTGGAAATAAATTGTTTACATTTGTTGTTAGTTCTCAACACGCTTAAGTCATCAGCATGAAAGAATGGAATTAAATGAAAATCAAAGTCCATCTTTTAGAGGAATTTTAAAATTTCATTAATTATTCATTTCGACCAGTGGATGTTAAATCTCTTTGGTGGGAATATTAATATGATGTTATGCCGAAGTTTTTTTTTTTTTATATATATATATTAATATACTTCTGGGGTTTAGGATGAAGTCATTTGAACTGGATTTATTTAGCAGCGCATGATCATTTTTGGGTTAAGGAGAATTATATGTCTCTTACATTTTCATTAGTATTTCTTCTTGTGTTATTTTCCATTTCATAGAGTTGGAAAGAAAGTCTATAGTTTTTCTTGTTGTTCGTTTCGTCTGGCTTCAGTTATTATCAAGAAAGGAATTAAATGGAAGTATTATTAAAAGTAAAGAAAATGTACACAGAGTTATACTACCGCTAATCACATAAATGTTTTCTTTTCCGGAACCGTCATATAGAAAAATCATGGGAAATTTGTTTAAAAACAGTATTTTAACATTCCTAATCAGATGCTTCCTCTGTAGCTATATAACGGTTCTGTGTAGGGTACAGGTTCGATTCCTGTCAGAAGACACATATTTTTTATGAAATTTCTCGTAAATTCAGGCCGGTATATACCTAAAGGATTTATATATATAATATATAAATGCTTTAAGTGTTAATTTATCTTCTTTTGAAAGTTCTAAACATCTTTGCTTACAAAGTCGTACCTTTCTGTGACAAACTTGTGCTTAACCTAGGAGTGAGGAGGGGACGAGACGCATCTTATTACTATCACGTTGAGTGAGTAATTTCATTTTATACTTTTGATTACCACGCCACCTAGTGGCGTTAAGTGAAGTCTATTGGCAAGAAGGTGAAGTAATCTCATAACTAATCCAAAACGTTGAAACTTACATTTAGATTAATAATAGTATGTGAAGGGGACAGAGATTGTGCTACGTGGTTTGATGAAAGTAAGTAGTATGCTTGTACAAGGTGCGTCTCCTAGAATAAAGATGTAAATAAATTTTACATACAGCTTCCTATGGATGAATAGAAAGAAGGAGTGACCCCTTTCCATTTTTACAGCTGACTGCCAACACCACCTAGCGGTGATAAGTGAAGTCCATTCGCAGAAAAGAGGGGGTAGTCAGTGCCTTTTAAAACGCAAAAAATAACATCGAGTCCCCGTGAACTCAGACATTTAAAACATAAAATTTCAAAATATGGCAAATATGTAAATTATCAATAATCGGATTTTGAACTTTTATCGAATTTCTTTTATTCCAATCGAAGTGAGTCGAAAGCTGACTCCTTAACGAAAGCTAACATTAAATACGAACAATTCTGATCCATCCTTACCACTAAGATACGGATATTAAACAAGAAAAAATATGATTAAAATATATAAATGACATAACTTGTTTGTTATCTTCAATAAAACTTGTTCAATTAATATTTACTGCTTATATATATATATATATATATATATATATATATATATATATATATATATATATATGTATATATATATATATATACACACATACATATACACAAAAAACATCTATATAAACACACACACACAGAGATGTGTGTGTACGTATGTATATATATATATGCCTAATTGAAAAATGAAGGGAGAGAGAGAAACAACTTACGCAGGCTGGTGCTTGTCGTAGAATGGCAGTTGAAGAATACCTGCCGGGAACGCTACAATACAAGAACACATAATAAACCGTATGATGATGGATTGCTTTTATGGATATATATATATATATATATATATATATATATATATATATATATATATATATATATATATATAAGTATGGAGAGAAAGCTTTTAATAAACAATGCCCGATTACATAAAGCTGACAACTTCAATTTGCAGCTTGAAGACTGTCCATTGTATGAGGAGCAATATACTTTCAATATTTCCCCACATAAATTCGATATAAGTCGCTAATATCTCGATGGCCTAATCAACATTGTATAAGTATTTACCAGGACGCCCACATCGCACACCGGATACGGCACAAGATCGGAATCAATCTTGTATATCTTACTAGGAAAATGAAGTCATTCATTTCTTTCGGATAAATAGTTAAAAAACGTTTAAACCTTCATGGACGAAAAAGCTAATGGGATAAACCTTAATAATATTAAATATTAAAGCTGGTTTTATAAAAGATCTGTAATATACAATAAGCACGGTTTGCTCGATCTTATGTTATGAGTAAAAAAAAGAATATAGTTTTTAAATTGTAGAAACCGCAAAATAGAAAGTCTTCCGAGTTAACAATGCATAACTGTCACTTAAACACATTTTTCACTTGTTATATATCTCTCCATCTCAGTTAATTTTATCTCCTGAAAATCTCCAAAGGGAAATAAATCAAATAATTCGTAAATTTCTTTCAATTTAATTATTGCCTAATATTTTTATTAGATTAAAAAAAAATGTTTATTTGCATTCAAAAAGTTCAAAAATATTTTTAGCGTTTATACGAGTTTCTGTGACACATATGTGTTTTCGATAAAATCAAGAGATAATTCAATATTATTAAATTCCTGCCAAGTAATAAACAAAAGAAAAAATGAATATGCGCATAACGTAGTCTTTATCAGCGCAGAGAGCAGGATTGTCCAATTCCAATTGCTTTCGCTTTCTAAAAAATATACTTGGGAAAGGTACGGACCCGTCTCTTCTCTCCTCTAGCTAGAGGTTAATAGCTAGGGGCATACTTGGCTCTCTAGTTTTGGCTGACAACGAGTTTAAGAGAATGGTAGCTCTGAATTAAAAACCAGTTGGACATGGTGTTAGCAACTCCACCCCCCAAAAAGAAAACTACTTTCTACGAAAACCACTACAGAAACATGTGTGATGAAGTTTTGGTTCTATACTCCAATATGGGAGTTTAATGGATTAACATGGATACATACAATACACATGAAGCAATTTAAAAGTATTCTTCAAATACCTGTTACATCATATTATATTGCTATTGGATGAGTTCTATTTCTTTGTCTTTATAATACATAAAATACAACCAAACATTCAAAATAAAATTTTAAAAAAATAAAATACGTAGTAGGACCAGACCACCCGGCATTAAATTAAGAGTGGCCAATGTAATCTGCCGCTAAGCAGAATCACTAGCATGTGAACTGCTTGATTCTGCTTAGCAGCTAAATATATTGGCCACTCATATTTTTCTGCGGGGTGACCCTATCCTATTGACTTTTTTTTTATATTTTTTGAATGTTTGGTTGTATTTTATTTTCGTTATTGGGTTCATCTTCCCCACTCTTTTCATAACATATATTTTGATATATTTTTATGAAAAAATAAAAAAAAAATTGTATATTATAAAAGTTTTATGTCATGGATATTTTACAAGGATCCCTGTGAATATGGCAGTATTGTGGTACATGTTGGATCGAATGGTGATGGATTAGTTCTTGTGAAAATGTTGTAATGAATGAATGGGTTGCAAATCAGAATAAATAGGTTTAGGATAATCAGTGTTGACCACCCCACTTCCCCTTCAGTCTTGTACCAAAATTTTAATTATAATACAATAAATAATATTTTTGATACATTTATGTGAATAAGTAATATAATTGTGACATCATAAAACTGCATGTGATCGAATGGGAGTTCAAAATTTGCACCATTGCAATGTATGTTTTACTCCAAGGATATCGAGTATTGATGCAAACCAAAAAACTGTCAGATGTGTACTGAAAATAAGTCTCTTAGACAGCACCTCTCCCCCCCCCCATTGCACTAAGAGAAGCGGGATATGGGATATATACTCATATCTTCATCTTGACAAATATGTTCAAAGTTATTCTTTGGATGCCATGTGATCTGAATTTGTCGAACTTTTTCGGTGTTGTTGCTTAATGCTTTCTTTCATATGATTCCCCAGGTCTTTACAGCTTACGGTCACATCACATTGAAATACAGGTACCCGTACGATCACCGAAGTTAAGCAAAAGTGAACCTGGTCAGTACCTACATGGGTGACCGCTTGGCAATGCTAAATGTTAGCATGGATGTGTGTGTGGTGCAATGTATAATGACTCTGCATTGTTAATCAGAGAGCCGAATTCCAATTCCAGTGGGGTTCGATATATTCACTTATGTTCAGATACTCTTGGGAAAGGTATAAATCCATCCCTTCTCCCCCCCAGCTTGCATCACTATAACCATTATTATCTCCAAATGAAATATTTTTAGATTTTGACATTAAATATCCTATAGAGGTTGATATGCCGCTAAAAAAAAAACAACAACTGGGTCTCTACATCTATAGATATACGTTGCTTTAAGTATACATCTGTGCTTCTGATGCATATAACTAGGTATAAACCATCAACAAGTATCTTGTGCCGTATTTTGAATTAAGGATGCAGAATAAATAAAATAACACTTTCCGATTTTCTTTTAAATATGAGAGTAATTGTTTGAATTCAGTGTTGTATTACAGAAACTTTTAGACTCTTTTATTAAAAAAAATCATGGAAAATAATTTTACGTATATTTTTGTGATTATTTAAACAAAAAATAAGCCACTTACTTATGGAGTTGCGAACAGCACTATAAAACGCGTTTACTACGGCTGGTTGTGTAATCCACCTACATAGGAAGAAAAAGAAGAAAATGAGTTAGAATACCTTTGATATAAAGAATACTATTCATTAATCTTTTTTACTAGAAAGACCCATGAAGATTTCACTGTTTTCCTATTTTAATTTCCTGATAAATCTTAATTCTTCAGTTAATGTTTGAATAGGCGAATGATGAGTTCTACGACAATAGAATATCCGTAGAATTTCTCCTGTCGCATCGTTAAATATTTGATCGTAACAACTTTAACAAAATATTGCAATAACAATCATAAATATGAATGATAGTCATTATTTAAAAATGTAAGGAGGTACAAATGAAAAGTAAGTAAGTGATCATTGCTCTCCACATCTTCTTATTCCTTGTAGCTCTAACTATCCTCCACACTCCGTGTTATGTTATCCATTTATACAAACACCTTAGGTAGGTCACTTAATATATCCATCTTGTCTTTAATATATCCTGTGAGTGTCAATTTTTCCAAACTTTCTTTCCTCATTATGTGTCCAAAAAATTACGACTTTCTCTTTCTGATTTAAATTTTTGTTCCCATTTTTTGTAAAACTCGTTGCCAACATATTCCGTCCAGAGTATCCTCAGCATTTTTTGTAGAACCACATCTCTGTTGACTCGAGTCTCCTCTTCACCAATGAGGAAAATTGTCCCGTATTCATCTTTTGGACGGTGGAGTAATGGATAGCAGCTCGGATAGAGGAATCGGAGAGCTGAGTTCAAATTCCAGTCGAATGCATTACATTCACTTACGCGCCCTTGGGAAAGGTATGAATCATCTTCTTCTCACGATGAGTAAATAGCAGGACAGACTGGATGGCAACTGGTCTACCGCAAAAAGAAATGGTTACTTACTGCGGGAAAAAAAATCTACCTCGACATATATCGAAATCTGCATAATCGCCAAAACGTGTATTACGCATAGGACATAATTGATTAGAGGATTTATATTACTTAGCAGTTTAACACTATTTTATTTGTTTCACCGAAATTTTCCTGTTACTTGAAAACAAATAAAATAGTGCTGAGAGATTTAATCTTTTGTTAGAGATCAAACGCTAAAAGATTTAATCTTTTGTTAGAGGTCAAACGCTAAAAGATTTAATCTTTTGTTAGAGGTCAAACGCTAAAAGATTTAATCTTTTGTTAGAGGTCAAACACTAAAAGATTTAATCTTTTGTTAGAGGCCGAACGCATTTCCAACTCGAACATTCTTTCTTGTCTTCAACTTCTTTTATGTTAAAATTTAATATATATATATATATATATATATATATATATATATATATATATATATATATATATATATATTAGGCATTTTTTCTATTCCTTGCGCTTTCGGATTTCTGTGTCACATTTTCTATTGTCTGTTACAGCCCTTCTCACCGTGATAGAGTCCAAAGGCGTCTCCGAAGCCTCTCCGTGGGTGTGGAACTATTCTCCGCGCTTCAATCTTACTCCCACAGAAAGTGCTCGGATCAACTATATTCCCTGGTCCCGCCAAGTCAAACCTTCACGGCAAGAACACGCCAGGCTACTTAATTAGTAGCACACCACCCACATTCCCTTCGTATTCCATCGCTGAGAAGTAACTTCCACTCGAGCAGCTTCTTCCCATGAACCACTGCCCTGTGGAACCGACTCTCAACATAATCTTCACCTGTTCAAGGCTAGAGTTAACTATTATCTTCCACTCCTATACACACAAGTGGCCTCTAAACATAACCTCAACATCGAGTGGCCCAGGGGCCTTGTAAAAGGTGATCTATACTATAAAAACAAAAGATAGCTAAATTTCTCCACGTGTTTGATTCCGATGTGCATAGTTTATTGCTCGCATCTTGAACTGTTCATAAATTCTATCTTACAATTGTTGCTTAGTGCTTTATTTTCGCTTTCCTTTACGATATTTCTGTGTTTACCATTAGTATCATATAATCTGCGTATCTTATATTGTTAAGATTGTGTCCATTAATAATATACGTTGAAATAAAAAAAAAATTTCATTATAGAATTTTGAAATGTTTCATATTTATGCAGGTCAATGTCAATAACTATCGGCTTTCAGTTCCCTGATAACACAATTTAAAATATTTTAGTGTTCAAACAACACTTAGTGTCATCGAATGCTATGTAAATCAGCTGAACATATTTACATATGTGATTGGCTTGATTGGATTAATTGGAAACGCGTGTAACTTTCTGTAGTCTCGAGTAAATAAGACATTGTAGATATTTAATAAGTAGGCACCTGCACAGATTCACGACACCTAATGTTTAAAATGAATTTTTTTTTTTAAATGAAAACTCTTTCTTGAAGCTTTTATTTTAGTTTTAATTTCAAGCTCATAGATTAAAGTTAGTATTTCTAATAAGCAAATTACTTTGCTGTATTTCAAAATTAATTTAAACTGATTGAAAAGAGTTATTGAGAGATTTTGATTTTTTATTTATTTTAGCGCCTTTTTTAGCCGGCTGTCATCAGAATGTAATTATCTTTGTGAAAAAAATCTTCCAAAAATAAAATATAACTTTTTGAAACACTATTTGAGGAAGTATAATTAATCTGATTTGAAACACATATTATTTATTTTAAGTTTAAAATATCGTAGAAATTGTAGCTGTTTATTTAATTTGTTAATGTGTTGACAGGTTGAGGATAGATTGAGGTTTTGTCTAATGATGTTCTACGGGGGCTTTATCAGTAACAAAAATAACTGAAGTATAACGTGAACGCCTTTTATATATAATTGTTGAGTACTCAGTAATCTTAAAAATTTAGAAAAACATTCTCCGTAATCTAATGTTTTATTGAATTTTACATATTTTGTCTTTAGATTTAATATAGTGATAGCTCTTATTTTCTGATAATGTCGTGTATGAACACCGTATCTACAAAATTTGGCATGTTTATACAAATGCAAAATCAATTCAAAATTCTTTTTAAAATATTGTGATGCCCCAGATGGTAATAAGTTTTCAATATATGATTGGTAAATATAGTTTCATTCAATAACAATATTGCTTAACCATTAAGCCGTTGAAAATGAACTTTAAATCATTTAATAACTTTATCAATTATTCAAATTAAAAATTATTCTATTAAAAAATTAGAACAAATCTTGTAAAAAAACATTATTTTGTAATTAAATAAGGTCTTAGTTTTATTGTGTTTTTTATTTTACGATTCAGAGCAGATTTTCGGTAAGATGGGGTCCGATTTTACGAAAACAATTGATGATTTAAATTCTCCAAGGAGTTCTGATTTAAACTATTTAATCACTAAAATAATATCGTTGAATTTCTCCAGTTTTCTTAAAATTAAGTGGGGTGTAACACATGTAAAAACATTTCTAAAATATTCATGAAAGTTTCATTAAAATCTGACAATTATTTTGCAAGAATTTCCAAATTAATGTATTTTTTATCACAAAAAAGACTCTAAAATTTGCTATGCTAATTTATAGCACACCCGCTGACGCAAGAACAACAAGAAATTTAACCAAAATTTCGAATGTTCTAAAAAGGACTAAAAAATGTAATTAAATAATCAAAAATTACTTTAATTTTTCCTTGTAATAATAAAATAAAGATTTTGACAATAAAACCCAGTTTTTATCAAATTTGGGGCCTTGTTTCATAATAGTATACTCTTCTTTTGGCAACTTTGTGGAGTCGCCTATTTAATAAGTTATCACAAAATTGAAGTGTATAATGGGAAACCTATGGAAAAACATTACTTTTTAAAAGCATTCAGATTGTCTGCCGCAACTTTTGATTTCAGTATTTTTTTTTATTTACTTGCAACTAAAACTGAAATATTTTATGTTAACTTTCATAAAAAATAGCAAACAAGTAATGTAATTTAATATCTTCAGTTTTAAATAGAGACAACCCAAACTAAAAACTTAAATGGAACGAAAACAAGCCAGCATTGTTTAGGAAATAAATTCTATTGGATCATTTTCTCTTTAAATATCTATAAAAATCTTCAATTACGTATGTGTTTCTTTTGAACAATAAATGTATTCCATTACAAATAACATATTGTACAAAACTTCGAATGCATAAAATAAATATTTAGCCGTACGTATTACTAGGAATATTGAAATTTATATGGAATATTTCAATCTGTATGAAGGTCCCTTTGATACAACACTACAGAATTGTTGCAACTGATATAATTTTTATTGGGTACAGAATACTGAATATTTTCCTTCGCAAAAACTTACTTTGAACAGCATTTACTCATGTAGCCAAATAATTTCAAATAATATATTGACCGTTTTGGATAAATTGGATAATTGAATATATAAGTTAGCCATCAATTCAAAAGTCGAACACAATTTCTTTATGAGTTTTATATAGTTTATGGTCATCCTAAGTGATGTGTTTTCTATCACTGTTTGTCTTTTTATTTTCGATTTCTTTTCGGCTTTGTTCTTTGGGGAGAGACGTATTTTATTATTCATTTAACAGTCAACTTACAAAGTGCATATAACAATATATATATATATATATATATATATATATATATATATATATATATATATATATATATATAGTACTATTTGTCGTTGCCGCAGTAAAACGGAAGAAAGTTTTGTTAAAACATAAGAATGTGTTATGTACTGAGAGATATTGAAACGAGAAGACTCGTGGGAAGAATTGAGGATTTAATTCACACATATACGAATTGAATTTATGCCGAGCAGTTTGAACAATGGAAAAGTAACACAGACTTAGTGGGTAATGTTAATTGACACACATCTGAAAATGCAAGCAGTAAAACGAAAAGTTCCTTTTTCGTAAACAACGAATTTAGAGTTGATTCCCCTGGTCAAAAGTTGAGTTGAAATACCAGGAGGGAATGGATAAGCCACCCACGCTCACTGAGGAGATTAAGTGAGATCTAACAATAGAGTGGTAGAAGAGAATTCCCTAGAATTATCGAATTCTCTTATTTCGCCAGTTTGGGTGAATGTCCATAAATACGAATGCGCGAAGCGAATTCGGCAGAAGAGATAAGAGAAACAGAAGAGACGGAATTGTGTCTCAAGGAAGAACAATGAAAACAAAAATTATTTCTTGTTTTTCACACATATTAAATAATACAGTTCCCAATCATTTGTAACCTTTAAATCAATTTTTTAGATTTGTAGAGTAGATGAGAATCTTTATTTTTTTCAGATATAAAAACAATTGCTTACATTTTTGCCAGTATATTTTAATTTCCCTGAAGATACATGTATTCAATAAGAGTTGACATGTGCGGCTCCATCCGCGTTCAAAAAATTATATAAAATTTATGCTAAAGTAACCGTTCTTTCTTTCAAGGAAAAATATCAACCGGTATTATTTATTCTGATGAAATTATTAGTCTAGAAATAATTACTACATGTTATAGCGTTTGTTTATCAAAGTTTAAAGCTAAAATGTTTATTAGCCCATGAATCGCAACAGAAGAATCCTGCAAGCACATATTTTGTACTTACCTGTCCTTATCGACAGTCTCACGCAGTTTTTTAAGGTTGTCGATTGAATCTCCTTTCATTGATACAAACACATTTCCTAAAAAGTTGTCAGGATCGAAATCAATCTAAAAAAAAAGAAGAAAGCAATCATTATTGTTAACACATGAAGATTAATTATAGTTATTCTCGTAGCATTGCCACAATAACAATAGGATATTTTTTTTAATCACAAGGTTAAACGATGCATTTTAAAATCAGCTAGCGAATCGTTTAAGTATGCCTATATAATTAATGTTTTAATCGTATCAGCATTGCTCGAGGAAAACATTATAGCTATTTGTTTTTTTTTCTTTTATTATACATATGCACACCAGGATGATATCAGTATCAGTGGAAGTGTTTTACGTTGCTTTTTTTTTTAAATGCTTATAAAAAGAAACAATATATAATTTTAAATTGGATTAAATGAAAATACAGAGTAATAGGAAGCATAAATTAATTATGAAGAAAAAGAAAAGAGAAAAAGAATAAAAAAAAAATTTTTATTTCGATTAATTGATGCCTGATTAAATGATAATTTGCATATGCAAATTAATGAAAGATTAATAAAACGTGGTCCTACGCAATATTCATAGTTCTAATCCTAATCCTAATTGCCCTAATCCTAATCATAATATCATATAACAAGTGAAAAGCGATATCTAAGAAGGTTATTAGTTTAATAGATTCGCTATAAAAATTATTAATTAAAAGGATAAATTATTTTTCACTGTTGCAATCTACTAAACCTAGCTTAGTTTGCCACAAGGCAACAATTATTGGGTACCGAATGCGCCAATCAATAGTAACAAACAACCACACTAGCTAGATAGCTATTATCCGATCTCGAAGTGATTATTTATAATTACTAAATTTAATCTAGTTTACTACAACTATGGGCCACCTAGTGAGGATCGATGGAAAAATGCTAGACAGACCATCAATTTCCTAACTTGGAATTCTTTACTCTTCAACTTTCATATCTTTACAATTTTTCCTCTGTATTATAATAAATGATAAGATTTTACAAGGATTTTACTTGATGCAGTTAAAGCATTTTTCATAAGAATATTCCAAAATGAATTTAAATGCTACAACTGAGTAATATGCAGGTAAAAACCAACTGAAATTTGTATCGCATTTGTAATATTCATATTAAGAATATTCTTTTTAAGAGATTATATAGTGTGAAACCCATTTAACGAACTTGTGTAAATAAATGACTGAACAGAGACTTGGAGGGGTTACTTAGAGCTACAAAAATAGGAAGCTATGGAGGACCCAAATCACCCATGCTCTGAAGGCTCATGGCACATTAGTTGAGTCGTATCTTTAAATTTAATTGTTATTTTAATAAGTATAAACACGCGAGTATCAAAGTGCCTTTAATATTCTGTTGTGGCTTTGTTAGGGCCAGAAATAAAGACACAAGAGAGATATTGAGTTAAATATTAAAAAAAAAACAATAATACAAACATATACAAACGAGGGTGTTACCGCAAGAATGTTCGGTCCGATTGTCAGAGCTGACTGCTGAAAACTTCAACCTCCAAAAGGCAGTACCTGCTCCTATTTATAGCTGCGAGAGTCCATGCGGCACCCCAATGTAAAGTAATTGTGAGATTAGTTGTTTTTTATACGAAACCATTTGAAATTTATTAACCGAACCGTTAACATTATTATTATTATTATTATAAGCATTTTACCCCAAGCAAGGCCACTAGTATGTCAGGGGTTACAGGAAGTGAAAGTAAGAGATAAGGTGTTTGAGGACAAGATCAAGGTATCAGAAGATGTCAATTTACATTACATTTAAATTTTTGAAGATTATATTTATCCGGGAAGCAAGTAAGAGGAAGTGGGTTCCACTGTCGAGAAGTGCGAGAAAATAAGCTGTGGGAGTAGTAGAGGTGGTTACACTTAACTGTTTCGACAGTAAAAGGGTAAAACGGAGATTCCTACTTAGTAGCACGCTTAAATTCATGCAGTTGGAGTACCAATGAAAATAGCTCGTCCGAGCAGTTGCCACGAAAGTATTTGTAGAAAAGACCAAGGGAAGCCACATAACGCCTGTGAGAAATCGACTGGAGTCGAGTTGTCAGGTTAGGACCTATTACATTGCATATCTCTCTTTGGATTTTGTCGAGAACCTCGAGATGAACAGCGGGGGGCACCAGACCATATATGGTAATAGTATTCAATGCAAGGACGAATAGTAGATTTGTAGATTTGAAGGATGGACTCAGACGAGAAAAACCTTCTGGTGCGACATAGAGAACCAACTTTCCTTGCCGTATATATAGCTATTATTATTATTATTATTATTATTATTATATGTGTCATGTTCCTTCAGGTTGTTGGCGATCACGTCTCTCCACAATTTCATGCCCTTTGTAGTTCTTAGTAAATTTTGTTTTTTACTATCTCTCCTAAACCGTGCTGTGCCATCGATTTACACAAGCTTGTTAGGTTATTCCCTGTCCCTATTGCCTTCAATATGCCCAGTGAGTGTCAAATTTCCCAAGTCCCCTTTCCTCATTATGCGCACTAGAAATTTCAACTTTCTCTTTCTGATGTTAAGTACAAGTTTCCTTTTTGTTCTTATTTTCTCTAAAACTTCCTCATTGCCTATATGCTCACCCCATGGTATTCTCAGCATATTTCTGTAGAACTACATTTCTTTAGCCGAAGTCTTTTCATCATTTGTAAAGAGATTGTCTAGCATTCACTGCTATATGGGAGGAGTTAGCGTTATAATCATTTGAAATTTAGAAGACCTTTCACTTTTTTAGGAAAATATTTTTTTCAAGTTCAGTAACTGATATAGCTCTTTCCATTACTGATGGGTGTTTCCATTCTAACCTTTTGTTTAAGATAGGAAGGAAGGTGAACATCTTTATTATGTCATTATTTTCTATTCGAGTTACATGTGCTATTTTAGTTGTTACTTCAATTAATATTGGATCTGTTATTTAGTAATGTTTATGTGCGATTATGTAGCGGCAGTACACGAAATTCGATTAAAAGTGCTCTCTAATACCTACTGGTTTCATATGCCCGAAACCATGTGCAATCTTTGATCTGAGAAAACGGTTGTCTGTTGTTGATAGTTTCGACATTGCTGAACGCGTTGGATGCCATGCATGTCATCCTTATGCGGGTTTCGATCTGACAAGGTTATTTAAGAACAAAACTCCAATTCTAAGGTTAATGTTTGGTTTGGGTTTTGCGGTGTTGACCATAACTACACTTAGCGTAGCTTTTGTGGACTATTACTGCAGAATTACAAACAAAAGATTGAAACCAAATTACAGAAACCACATCTCTTGAGGACGTTCAACAGCAGCAAAAACTAAAATGGATATCACATGAAACTCAAAGAGAAAATAATGACATAATATAGATGTTGACATTTCACCAGGTTTCAAACAAAATGTTAGAAAGGAAATCTCTATTAATAATGGAAAGAGCCAGAACATCTACTGAAATGTCTTTTAAGAGGAAGATTTTAAGAATTTCAACCGAAAGAAGCACTGGATTCATGGTCAATAAATACCTAATGTTTTCTTATAAAGAAAGTGCAAATATTGCAATTAGCATTATGTACGTATACATGTATCTATCCCACTTTGTTCATATCTATCTATCCCGATTTATTCATCTATCTATCTATCTATCTATCTATCTATCTATCTATCTATCTATCTATCCCAGTTCTATCTATCTAGCTCGATAGCTAACTATCCCAGTTTGTTCAGATCTATCTATCCCGATTTGTTCATATCTATCTATCTATCCCATTTTGTTCATCTCTCTCTCTTTCTCTGTTTCTGTCTGTCTCTCTCTGTCTCTCTCTCTCTCTCTCTCTATATCTATATATATATATATATATATATATATATATATATATCCCAATTTTCAGCAGTACCGGAAAGATAGCTAATAGCTACAGGAATTGTGATGATTATTTTCCTGAAAAAAAAACGTTTTAAAACAAAGAATTTACAAATTTCAAATGACAGTAATGCTGGTTTTTCTGTCGAATATTTTCATATAAGGAATCGTCTGATATTACCATTACCATTCTATGTTCAATTTCATTATCCCTTATACTACATGTGTTAATAACCTAAAATTCAACAAAATAGAATTAAGAAAACTCCACGGAAGTCATTTACTGTGCCAGACGGCGTTAGTAGAAAGACAAAATTCAAATGATACTGAATAGATTTCCGACGTGTAAAAGGAGAGCCAACAAGCAACTCTGGCAGAGATTCCATTTCCAACTTACACAGGTACACCGGCAACAGTTCTTATTTGAGGGAGTGCTCATTGACATGGCACCTGGGGCAGGTTTCGGCGGGAAGTAGACACGTTGTGATTGGATGTCAGTGTTACCCTCGCTTCAACTTCTAAACCTTCCTAATCTCTTGATAAGATGACGTTCCATTGAGCAGAATTACACCGCGATGTGTTGGTCGTTGGCTAGCGGAATTGCTGATTGCTTAATAAAGGAAATCAATATTGGAACGGTGTCAAGCGCTTCCCTCTTTAAAGACTCAACGGATGTCTCACAGACAAACTGGTAACGCTAAGTGCATTTCATTTGCCAGCTAGCGGCGAGCTACCGGAAGGATTAGATTGGCAGAGAATGGGGATTTCGTGCACAATATTAGCCAACTGCATACGAATGAGTGCGTATGTGTATATCCAAGCATGTAGAAAATACGTACATGGGCGTTAAATGCTAAATGAACATCGACTGACTGAGAAAGTCAGCACACACACACACGTATATATATATATATATATATATATATGAATGCGTGTGCGTGAGTGAGTGTATGTGCGCGCGCACGCGCGTGTAAGATGGAGAAAATTTCCTAACCCGACATGTTTTCAAAATCTAATCAAATGACCAAACATTAGATTTGGGAATGGAGTCGTTCATTTTGGTCGGACAGAGAACTTGTCAACATTCTTTTGACAAGACACCATTTTTGTAATGATGTTTGTTATAATATTTGATTATATATATATA